GCATGGGTTCATGAATGGTGGATCCTGCTTGACAAACCTGATTTCATTCTATGACAAGGTGACCTGCTTATTGGATGAAGGTAAGGCTGTTGATGTGGTCTACCTGGACTTCATTAAAGCCTTTGACACTGTCCCCCACAGCATTCTCATGGAGAAGCTGGCTGCCCACTTTTTGGATGGACGTACGCTCCGCTGGGTGAAACTGGCTGCATGGCCGGGCCCAAAGAGTTGTGGTCAATGGAGTTAAAGCCAGTTAGCAGCCAGTCACAAGCAGGGTCCCCCAGAGCTTGGTACTGGGGCCGCTTCTATTTAACATCTTTGTTAATGATCTTGATGAGGCCATTGAGTACACCCTCAGTAAAACATCAAGTTGGAATGGAGTGTTGATCTGCTGGAGGGGAGAAAGGCACTACAGAGGGACCTGGATGGACTGGATCAATGGGACAAGGTTATCTGTATGAGTTTCAATAGGGCCAAGTGCTGGGTCACAACAACCTCAGCCAACCCAACAGGCTTGGGGAGGAGTGGCTGGAAAGCTGCCTGATGGAAAGGGACCTTGGTGTACTGATGGACAGTCGGCTGAATAAGAGCCAGCAGTGTGCCCAGGTGGCCAAGGCCAATGGCATCCTGGCTTGTATCAGGAATGGTGTGGTGAGCAGGACTAGGGAAGTCATCCTGCCCCTGTACTCGGCATTGGTAAGGCTTCACCTCAAGTACTGTGTTCAGTTTTGGGCACCTCAGTACAGAAAGGACATGGAGATGCTGGAGGAGGAACAAGGAAGGGCAACAAGGCTTGTGAAGGGCTTGGACAATATGCCCTATGAGGAGAGACTGAAAAAAACGGGCTGTTTAGTCTGGAGGAGGCTGAGGGGAGACCTTACTGCTCTCTTTCAATACCTGAAAGGTGCTTACAGTGAGAGTGGGGTTGGTCTCTTCTCACTGGTGACAGGTGACAGGATGAGGGGAAATGGCCTCAAGTTGTGCCAGGGTAAGTTTAGATTGGATATCAGGAAAAACTTCTTTGCAGAAAGGGTTGTGAAGCACTGGAATAGGCTCCCCAGGGAGGTGGTTGAGTCACCATTCCTGCATATGTTTAAAAACCATTTGAATGTGGTGCTCAGTGACATGATTTAGTGGAGGGTTATTAGAATTAGGGTAGTATGGTTAGGTTGTGGTTGGACTTGATGATCCTTAAGATCTTTCCAACCTGAGCATTTCTATGATTCTAGGAGATTTTGCCAGTGAATTTTTCTCCCTTAGGGCCATGTCTGGAATGCAGGGGCCAGAGCGTGCACTGTCTTCTTTGTTAAGCACCACCCAAGTTTGTGTGCTCTGGAAATGTCTGAAGGTGCTCATTTCTTTTTCTTCCTTATTCTTTTCTTTCTTTTACTTTTTTTTTTTTTTTTTTTTTTCCAGTTTGAAGAGGTGTTTTTGGAAACACGAGAGCAGTATGAGAAACTCCTGCAAAGTGAGTACATATGAGACCTCAAGATAAGTGTGAGCAGGTTCCGCTCAGTCCCAGAGAAGACTGAAGACTGTGTGGACCGACTTCCATCTGGAAAAGAGGGAATTAGAACAGAGCTTTGAGCAGCTGCAGAGACTGAATGTTTTCACATGTGGGCAGGCACAACTGAAAACTGAATGTCCTTCCAGCTTGCAGTTTTGCAGTCCTCTTGGCTCTTTTGTTTGTGTGCTGCTGCCAAAACTTTGTTGGCAAAAATTCACCTTAGGTGAATGCGCAGCTTCTGGCTGGTCTCACTTTTTTTTTTTTTCCCCCAAGTCTTCAGCATTACAGCAGTTGATTGTCAGTTGGCCATAAAATATAGTAGGCCCTGAGTGTTTGTAAATCTTGCTTTGAAACAGCTTTGCCAGGATTCTTGGATTCTCATTCCCAAGGAAAGCAGCATTGTGAAATTAATCCCATGGGAATGTTATCCAACAACCTTATTCCAGGCTTCAGCAACTTGCACATGCTTATCCTAAAAGTTCATGGAATGCCCTGCTTTAGCTTAAGATACAGGTTACAAGGAAGAAATTTTATAATCTAACATTTGTTCCATCTGTGTTTTAATAGTAGGAAATAAATACATTTTTATGTATTTAGAATTAGTTTACATCAACTAAGCTTCTTACTTAATGTGTTTAGTGTCATGATTGTCCAAATTATATTTCAGTTTCATCATAAGAGCTGTTGTACACAGCCTTACCTGCACTTTCTCTGAACTTTGGTTTTTAAAGGTTAATAACCCACAGTTATTCCATTCTTCACTTTAATTAGTCTTAATTTACTGTTTGCATGGAAATATGCCAGTTTAATAAAAAGACTCCCTAGAGCATGCTCAGGAAGAAATTGGATGTAGATGTACCAATGCAGTAATATGTGGCTTTCTCTTTCTTTAGGTGGAGTCCTCATGTTCCAGCAAGTGCCCATGGTGGAGATTGATGGGATGAAGTTGGTGCAGACCAGAGCCATCCTCAACTACATAGCAGGGAAATACAATCTCTACGGGAAGGACCTGAAGGAGAGAGCCCTGTACTGTACCAGTACTACCCTTCTTGAACATATTATAGTAGTTTAGATACATGAAGAATAAACTGCATTTTGCATACTCAGAGAACCACCTTTGCTTTGGTGATGCGTAATTTGCAGTAAGACTGACAGGCTACAGTTAAATGCAACCCAACTAATTTGTTCTGATCAGTTTATCTCGATGTAAAAAATGGTTGATATGTAGGCCCATTGTCTAGTAAAATATTAATATAACTTGACAGAGGTATTCAAGAGGTGACTAAATACTGATCTATTTCTGCATGTGGAAATTCAACTTTAACACTGTGCAAATCTGTGCTTGTGAAGGCACCAGCCTATTTAAGTTTTGTTGTTTGTTTTTAAGGATTGACATGTATGTTGGGGGAACAGATGACCTTATGGGCTTCTTGTTGATTTTTCCGTTCTTATCAGCTGAGGATAAAGTGAAACAGTGTGCCTTTGTAGTTCAAAAGGCTACAAGCAGGTACTTCCCAGCATATGAAAAGGTATGTAGGAGAATTGTTTCCTCCTATGTTTCATTTTTATTTATATTTTAAACCACAGTAACAAACAGTTATTACTACAGTTTCAAAAATGCTTTTAAGTTTCCCTAGGCAGATATAGGAGGAGCACCTCCAAGCAATGAAGTTTTCTAATCTAAATGGCCTGATGCATTGGCCAAGTTCAGATCTCAGTGTTTATCTTGCTGATCTCTATTTTCTCATTGAAGCTGTAACAGAGTTAAATATATATATTATATATATATATATAAGTCCGTATATATATATATATATAGTCTGTATATATATATAGTAAGATTTCTTAGTCTGTAAATTCCAGTATGATATAGGGTGTGGTGTTACCTGGGGCAATAGGAAGGAATGATGGGTAAGAGAAACCCTGGGATTCCAGACTGCTGCTGGGAAGACTGCTCACAGATAAGCTGATCAGTGATTGCAGGCATTGAACTAACATCTCCCACTCTGGGAGTACCCTAGTGCCATGGGAGAGAAAGATGAATAGAACAGAATTGTTACCAAAGGTGTACCTGAGCATTTTGAAAAGATAATTCCATCTGCTTATCCACTTTGGAACATTTTCATTTCTGACATCTCTAGGTTTTGAAAGACCATGGCCAGGACTTTCTTGTTGGCAACCGTCTCAGCTGGGCAGATATTCATCTTCTTGAAGCCATTTTAATGGTAGAAGAGAAGAAGTCAGATGCTCTCTCAGGATTTCCTCTGTTACAGGTGACTTACATTAACAATATACTTTATGGCTGGAGATATGGTAGAAAGAAAGACATTTCAAAGTCTGTTTTGTGTGGACAGTTCCATAAGAGAAGGTGTCTGTCACTCTTTTATTGTAGTCTTGCTCTGCTTGCTTTAGGATGAACATCCTAATAGGACTCATCTACAGAATGTATTATTGTTTAGAGTAATTCCTATAAAGCCTGAAGAAAGCCACTCTCCTTTTCTTTTGGTTGCTTCTTTTCCCCCTTCTCACCAACTCTATAATGCCAGAAGCAGAAAGTATTTTCTAGATTAAGACATGATTTGAGGAGAATACACATCTGAAACCACAAGTAACTATTTCCGCATCATCGTACCTCAATACAAGGTGGACGGCTGTTTAATCACTATTTAAAATGAAGTTGGGGTGAGAGAGGGTAAATTTACCCATAGCTAAGATGGTATTTCTTTTGTCTTGCATTTGCAAACCACTTTTTAAAGGATGTTAATGACTTATTAGGGAGACTGAGGTGAATATAGACAAAGGTCTCATCAGTATTTCCTGTACTGACGGAGCGGTACTGGACATGTGTCGTTAGCAGTATCTTCAGCAGCAGCTGATACTGTTTGCTTAGTGATTTCTGTCAGTGCTCCCCTCTTCACTCAAATCCTCCACTTACACAAATGAGTGTGTATATTCTTGTCTTACTTTGCTTTTTAAATGCAATGTTCTTACCATTTCCCTTTTAGGCATTTAAAAAAAGGATAAGCAGCATCCCCACAATCAAGAAGTTCCTAGCGCCCGGAAGCAAGAGAAAACCTATTTCTGATGATAAATACGTGGAGACTGTGAGGAGGGTTCTCCGTATGTATTATGATGTAAAACCAAATTAGGGTGCTTGTCTAAAACAAGGGCTGTTCTTAGTTGAAGAGAGCTACCAGATGGCATAAGTAAACTGTGCAGAGAAGGTGAGGAGGCATTTGAAAGTAGTTGTAATGAGCAGAACCTTGAATTCTCTGATACAAAATACAACATACAAGTATTTTGCTTACTAATATAACGCTTTACTACTAACCCATTCTTGAGATTTTTCTGGTAATTGCTACCAATTGAAATGGCATCAAATGTGCTGTTTTCCAGCAGTCTCACCAGAAAAGGGGAAAACAAAAGTGAAAGAAGTGTGAATTGCTGACTGACAGCTCCAGCATCTTGTGGTAGCTCTGAGGGTCCAGATCAGGTTTCTGTATGATCAGTTCTGATTCAAGTCCTTAGTGATTTTAGATTCACTTTAGGAAATGAAACAAACAGCTTTTAAAGAATGTAGGACAGAGATGTTCCTCTTGCCAGATATATTGGATGTTACTGATGCGTGAAGTACCAGTGTGCCTTCATAACTAAGCTGCATTTTAATTACTGAATTGGGAAATAAAAGGACTGCCAAATGTCATATTTGTATAACTAGCCTATCTAGAAGATCTATTCTAATAAATAAACTCATTATCCTTACATGTGCTTGTTGTCATGTTTGTCTCATGATTTAAGGTTGAGCTTTGCAAATTATTGTGACTTGTCTTTCAGGATATATTCTTGATGCTTGATTTGAAGGAGATCCTTATCAACCTGAAATGAAAATCCTTATCAAGATCCTTATCAACCTACTGTCTCGCTCCAATTTATAGGAGGGAGATGAGGTTCTTTAATATCTGTATACCCGGTGTGAGATTAGTCCCCAGCAAGCTTTGAGACACAGAAGTTAACAGAATAATAACTTACAGAGTAGTATCTTACACCTACTCATGAAAAAAAGTTGGAAGGGCTGCTTAATAGCATGCTATCTTAGGCTTTCATAGCTTTTATAGTTCTGTATTAATTATATAGTTGAAAAGATTTCTGCTCAATCTCCAGTGTCACTGCTTAATTCCCGAGCTGGCTGTATGTTGAGAAATGGGATGCATCTTGACCTTGTAATGCAGCAAATACACTTGAGTAAATTTGATGAATGAATTGCCCACTAGGGAGCTGTCTCACAGCTTCAGAGTGACTGAAGTTCTCAGCACTATGAAAGCCAGAAGAATAGAAAGATGCCAAATGTAGGCAAAATGTGTCCCCTGCAAGGGTTCTGATGTCTTTACCGCGCACCTTATTCATAGTGAATAGTTCAGGCTGTGGCAGGAAGATCGAGGGGCTGCAAGCACCTGGAACATGAGCATATGCTTTGACATGGAATGAAGGAGCTTGTCCCTTGGCTGATGTCCAAAAGGGACATGTGGGTTCCTGGACCTGGAGGTAGCCTGGGACTAATGCCACTGAGTCAGGCACGGATCTGAGGTTCAAGAAGGGCTTTTCTGATCATGCATATTTTTGGGCTAGAACGTTCTAGATTTAGGAGGAGTAAGCTGCTGTTCCATTGTAATCTCATTCTCACATATTTTTTAATATGTGAGTAGCCATTTATGAGCCTGAAAGTCACTTAGAGCAATTTCCCTTTTTTTCTTGTTGACACCAGCCCATTATGGTGTTTGGTACACTTGTTGCTCAGTTGTTTCTTTTTCATTCATTCCTTGCGTATTTGTGATCAATTGTTTCTACTTCTGTCCTTGCTGGAGTTCAAGTTCCCCTCTTTTAGACCCTGTATCTATTGTTTCTACTCTTCTTCCCCCCTTTCCCTCCCCCAGCTGATTCCAACCCCCCTTGCTGAAATGCAGCTCAAAAGCTGTCTTTGTGCAGAAGGCTGAGGACAGCTGGCTGGCTACGGTTGCTGCCAAGTGGGAAGCCAGAGTGGTGTTCAGTAGTTACCATAGGAGCTGCCAAGGGCTGTGCAGGAGGGAGCTGCTTCTAAACCAGGATCTCTTAAATAAGGAGTCCAACTACCTGTTTGTTTATTGTTAAAGTTGTAAATCAAGAATTGCAACGCCCACAGTGCCTGCAGATTTATAAAAAAAACTCTTTTGTGTGGTTATTAGTTGTTGTAACAGATTTACAGAATCACATTTACAGAATACAGCTGTTACAAAACGTTCATAAATGCATCTTGAGTGTGACATGGGGATTCTAAAGAGTGGCTTTCCCCAGCAGAGGGAAGAAAACAGAGCATAGGATACTGCTCAGCCACAGTAGCTATCCTATACTGATCAAGGTTTTATTGTTGGCATCATACGTAAGATCCTGCTTCTAGTGAAGTTTATTCTAGATCCCAGTTGCTACAGGAGATAATTTCAGCCTTAGGCACTTACAGGCATTCCATTTCAACACTATAAAAGCTGTAGGCCTTGAATTAAATGGGTGTTACACTTTTTCTGCCCTAGATGGAGCCCTGCTCCTTCAGCAGGTGCTCATGTGGAGACTGATGAGATGAAAATTGTGAAGACATGGGGAGAAAATTGTGCAGCCCCGAGCCATCCCCATTAACACAGCAGGAAGAGTACAGCCTCTGTGGCAAGAAGCTGAAGGACAAAGCCTAAGCACCACCTGCCAGGTTTTGAGCTATGGCTACTTCTGCAGTCATGGAAAGAAGTATGTATCTCCAGGTGGCAATTTATCTGAGCTGCAAGGAAGGGTTAGCCTCTTATCGTGTGACTGCAAGCATGTCTGCATGTCTCACAGGAGGTAAGAGCAGAATTCAGTCTTGTACAAACCCATGTGCAGCAGCACCTTCTAGATTCTGACCACGTCATTGTAAAACTTCCTTCTGTTGTGTTTGCTTAAGATTTCTGCTGCTGCAACTTGTGTGCCTCTCCTCCTTTTCTGAGAAGTGTTTGTTCCCGTCCTCTCATTAGGTAGTTGAAGACAGCAATTAAACCCTTGATACTCTGCAATGTAATGTTTTATGAGGAGACTGAAAAAAATAGCAACGTTTGCAGAAGATTAAAGTAAATAAAGTTGACAATAAAGGAGGGGGGAAAGGTGAGATTGGTGATCCGAGTCAGTGTGCACACTGAGAATAAACAAGCAAACTTGCAGCTTCCAATTCTTTCCTGTTGCCTGCCCTATTACTTTCCTTTCAGAACAGTTTCTCCAATACACACTTGAAAAAGGATGTAAAAGAAGCACTGCCCTGTTTTTGGCAACAGACAGAAGGAGCTCACCCTTGCCCTTCAGCCTGAGACTCCACAGCTCATCTCCCAACCAGCCCATTCAGATAAACAACAGTTCAAGCACAGGCCACCCCCTTTTTCAAAGAACTAATTATGTTATCAAAGGCTTGCCATTGCTCTGCAGTTTTGCACTTGGGGAACTTTAGCCTTGGGATGAAAGAGCTGTGTGTTCTGGATTCCTTGTAAGCCAGCTTTGGGTAATCGTTTCAGAAAATGTTACTCTAAGAAGGGAGACAGCATTGGGTGGCAGGCATAACTCTCATGCTTTGTAGAATATCTCGTTGATGTCCTCCTGTGAAATACACCCTCATAGCAACAACAAGAAGTGTAACAGGTGTGTGGATCTTAACCTTCATTAAACAAGCACACTCTTTATTTTCCTGGTGCTGCGGTTCCTTGCTAGTCCAGGTGCTTGTGAGAAGCAGGGCAGGCTGGTCAACATACATCGCCAGGATCTAGGAGTTGGTTTTGCACTAAAAGAGGCACACTCACACGTTGCATCCTGTCCTGGTCCTTCCTGAAGCAGGAGAGACACCTTTCCCAATTAGACTACTGAAGACCCATGTATGGGTTTAGGCCTCAAAGTCTTTTTCTGCTCATTCCTATGGAGAAGCCTAGGAGTCTATGCTTCCAGCTACAGCAGAAGAACAGACAGTGCTTATTTTATTGCCAAGGGTGTCCATGGGAAGCACCTTATATCAGAGGCTTGTGGATGGAAATGTCGGGGAAGGAATTATGATGACATTTATATAAACCTATGGTGAAGGTTTAACCTGACGAGGATTCATAAATCTTCCTCTTTACTGCTATACAATTATACTGTTTCAGACTATCTACTTGGCTTTCATGACCAAACTCCGGAGGTAATAAAACAATTTTTCAACACAAATTTCTGTGTTTGCTTTGTACCAACCTTGGGAGAAGCAGTGACACATAGCTTCACCATCACTTTTCTAGCATGGATGTACTGCCAGTGTTTTATCTACTGCAAGTTCATTACTTGCACATAAAGAGCGCATAAAGTATCAGCCTGGTTCTCAAGCACACCAAAGCCTTTTCTCAGTGTTCCTGTTTTGGGAAGTGCAGTATATCTTTTCTTGTGCAAGAGAAGTTAAAATGCTTGGAAGGTTCTTGCAGTCTTTCAGAGTGCAGAAATACTCAAGAGGGGATGGGGAAATACAGCCAACAATGTGAAGTACAAAACTATAAAATGCAGAGCTGAAGAGGGACACTACCACCAGATGAAGAAGCTGTAGCATTAATACAGAGAATTTTCAACTTCTGCCGTTATTTTCCATGACATTCCCTATTTCAGCTTTCCCTGATTTTTGTTTTTCTAGATTTTTATGATCCTTCTCATGCAACCCAGAACAATAAATCATATTTTCACATCACCAGAGAGCAAAGCAGGTTGCATTCAATAAATTGTTAGATGTATCTGTAAGAAAAGTAAATGTACAGGTAGAAGTTTACTCGTAAGTATCATTAAAACACATACATGTTATTATTTTGAAGATAGTACAAAACAGTTAATAGAGAGAATCTTAAAAGTCAGATTATTCAATATTGTACGAATAACACACCATTAATCTCACCTCATTGAATCTTTTCATGCTGACAGATCTGTGTAAGGGAGTCTAATGGAAAGAGAGAATATTTCCTCTTAAAGGGAAATAAAGGCTGAAATCTATACTAAGGATACTGAATGTTATGAGAATGATGATGAACTCGGGGGAAACACAAACTTCAGTAAAAACAAAGCTGTTTTATAGGAGTAGAAGTGGACTTGTGTGCCCTGAAATCTATTTCTCCTTATATAAGAAGTGTAAGTAAATCTGATTTTATAAAGACAATAACCAGAACAAACAAACAAAATGTCTCACAGGATAAAAGCTGGTTTTAGATATTTTCCAGTGACCAATTTCAACTACAATTCCCTATACTGAGGAAAAAAAAGGAAAAAAGATGGAATAAATGCTTTTGTTCAGCTTTATAATTTATCAACATCAGATAAATGTAGAAGTCTTTGCTTCCTTCCACCTCCATTTGAAAATATAAATGTTATTTAAACATAAACTAATTATTTCTTTTAGTGCAACAATGCACATTTTTACTGCAACAATGCACATAAGCTTTAGATGTAACAATGTGCACAAACTGAGAGTCCTAGAAAGTCCTAGAAAGTTTTGCAGCACATGCCAGAACCCCTATAAAGGAAACATATGCAAGTTACTATTGAAATAAGAAGTCATTATAATACAAAACTTATTTAAGTTCAGAATTTCACATTATGGATTAAAGTTCTTTTTCAGTTGGCTTTGAAGCCTTGATCTGGCACACCTCACACGATGGGGGATATCAACCCACTCTTTGACCAGGTTTTACAGATTTGGGGCTAGATAGCTGTGTAGACTCTGCTCCTTTTTTGGCATGTGCGTAACTGGTATTTATGTTTGACCCTGACACAGCCCTGAGTCAGCATGAGTCACCTTCTCTGCCTGCCTGCTGGCTTTAGCCCACCCTTCATTTGTCCTCGCTGTCCTTCTCAATGTTACGAACATCGCTAAGCATCATTCCAGGCTCTGTCTAAAGCCCCTCAAAGGGTTCTGCATTATTCCGCACTGTCTGTGCTGGTGATGCTGCTCTGGCCCTGCAGCCACTGGCACAGTGAAGCTGGTGTTTGTGCAGCCACTCCCGCTTTGCACACAGGGTGGCCGCCTCTGAGGCAGTTCTTGGCAATGATCCTTGGCCCACACTTGCCCACCCGCAGTGCCTGGGCACCCTGTGGGACAGAGCTGGTTGGCCCAGGTCATGGCTGTGCTAGGAAACTTTTGCTACAAGGGAAGGCACATGCCGATGCTGGGGTCTGTGTGCTGGCCTTTTTCTAGTGTAAATCTTGTTTCTGTCCCTCCCTAACTTTCCTTGCCATTTACACTCCTCATATGAGTGTAAATCAGGATTAGGATTGATTTTCTCAGAATTTTCTGTGCTGGTGGTCTGGATAAGTGCCAACTGGCCTGCAGAAATGTGCAGGAGAAAATGCCAACTTGGCTGACATCATATTTACGGTGATCTTGGTTGCAACAAGTTGAACATGAGTCAACAGTGTGCCATCTCAGGGAGAGGAGGGGCAGCGCTGAGCTCTGCTCTGTGTGACAGAGACAGGGCCTGAGGGAATGGCATGGAGCTGCGCCAGGGGAGGGCAGCTGGGGGTTAGGGAAAGGGTCTGCTCCAGAAGGGGGTGGGCATGGAACGGGCTGCACAGGGCAGTGGGAACGTGTTGACGATAGGGTTTGAATTTTGGGTGGTCCTATGTGGAGCAAGGAGTTGGACTTGGTGACCCTTATGGGTCTCTTCCAACTAAGGATCACAGAATTCTAAGAGTCTATGTACTTGGGTGTTCAGTAAGGCTTTCAGGACAAGACTAGAGTCTTTGCTGGAGTGTCACAGGTCAGCATGTCTTGGATTGCGTGACAACAACTTTGTTGAACTATTTTTGTGGACTTTAGTTTTATCAGTGTGTGTTTGTTCTTCATTTTAACAGATTGATTGGAAGCACAGGGAGAATCCTATCTCCCTGCTTCATTCTCCAGTAGCATTTAGCTGCATACTCAGCCCTTACCCCTGAAAAGGTGCTGCCAGAAGTTGCAATCAGGCATGGTGCCCCAAGAAAGAAGTTTTGTGGTTTGTGAACATCACATTTAGAGAAGTCTTTGAGTTCTCTAAGGTGCATCATCATAAAACGTGTTCACAGACTGCACCGGGAACTTGACCTGCTGGGTGGGGCGTGCTTGTGCCCAACCCAAGATCCTTTAAGTGGTACCTGGGATCTCTGCCAGCTGCCTGGATGCTCACAGGTGTGGCTGACCAGATTTTTCATAAAAGAGATTTGCTTTCTGTTCGACTCCGGAGGATTATACAACAAGTCAAGTTAGAGATGAAAGAAATCTTGTAGGCAGTAGATATGGATTTCAATGGAGCTTATAGAGGTTACATTGTTTTCACAGTTGCTGAGCTGAAAGCAAAACAAAAATTTCACAAAATCATAAAACAGCTTGTGATGGAAGGGACATAATCTAAACATAACAAAGGATAAACCTGGCAAACAGGGATGTGTAGAAGGGGAACAACTACTGAATCTGGATGTCACATCGTTCAGTAAATCCAAAAAGCATCAGAACAGTTTGCTTGACTGCTCATCACCATGCCTCCAATCACAGATATCAAAGACCTCAAAGCAGGAGCAGCTTAGTCTTTACTCAGTGCTGCCATCATGGACAGGTACAGGCAAACACTTCCAGCCTGTACCTGTGAATTTTCTGGAGGTTACTAATTGGATTTGACATGGAAACAATATGGAAATGTACGTTTAATGATCTACTTTATTCTCCAGATGATGAATCTGAGAGGGTTAGAATTAGGCTAAGTAGGAAAAAGCACCATATCATTGTATTTTGCTGACACTGTCAACATTTGGAGAACAGAAATTACAGATTTCCAAGAGGACTCAAGTGAAAATGCATCCTCTAGAGGAGATTGCCAGAAACTGTCAGGCAGATAAACTGTAACTGAACCAGAAATGTGAGGAAAAAAAGAAAGTAGCAGTATTTTGAAATTTCTTCAAAGTAGTCAGGTAAAGACTTTGGTCCTGAAGTTCCCCAACTTTTGATGCTATGTAGGTACAGCCATGACTGTACCATTACTCAGTGTTTGCTTTATGGACAGACCTTTAGATTAGCAGATTTAATGCAGAGAGTAAATGATGCCACATCATAATATGTGAGTCTACACTAGAGGTGAGAAAATGATCATTGCTATCCAAATCCTGCTTCACATCTGTTAAGCTACGTTTGTGTCTGTCCACACTCTCTTCCATTTTGATCATTCTATCTGACAGGCAGATGGCAAAGCTGAGGTCAGAGGTAACTATATGTCACAGAAACAGGGTAGGAAAATCATACTTTACTTCATCTCTGCATACGCTGTGTGTACATCTCCATGTACACTCCATTGCAAAATCAGTGCTGTTTCCTTAGACATGGGCTAAGTTGTCGCATAAACTGCTCATCTATTTTTTATACCAAGTTACCACTAAGTAAATTGTCATCAGCAAGCTGTGTTTAGAAGTAGTTGGGAATTGTTATCCCTACTTTGGGTATTCTTTTTATGCCAGACAGCACTGAAAATAAGTACCTTGGTTACCGTTAAGATAGGCCTAGAATATTTACTGGATAGTTTTTAAAAAGTTGCAGTTATCTTAAATAAGACGCAGAAGAACCTACGTTGTTCTCAGTGTTTTAAAATGTCTTCTCTTATATGTGTGTAAAATACCCCAGTAGCTCCAAAAGAGGAGCTTGAATAGATGGCTATGATAGAAACTGTGTGACTACCCCATCGTATGGTCAAATCAGCAAGCAGCAAAAGAGCCCCTGCCTTGAGTGGCACCTTCAGATACATATGCCTTTAAGTTCTGTAACGTCAGATTAATGACAGTAGGAGTATTTCTCTCTTATTGGGTATGGCTGGGAACTCCCCAGGCATAGGAGGAGCTGCCAAGTTAAACTAGAGGTGGGACTGTACCTGCAAGCAGTGGAGACTGAGCATAGAAGGTAAGTACAGGCTTCTATTCTTTAGTGCTTGGGTTATGGAGCAAGAAAGATCTTTTTAATCAGGAAACTAATCCTGCAGTGTGAATCACACTGGGTAAAGCAGATTCTTAAGCACTGAGAGAATAGGACAGAAATATGGAATTTAGACAAAAATGGTAAATATGTATGTATGTAGATACATCCACTCACTTTTGTGCTTGAAGCAGTGGTGATTTGTGCTTTTCCACCAAAGAGGTGATGCTGAGACCTTGACTGCACCTGCGGTTTCCTGCCAAGCACCAGGCTGTCTTTTCAGCAGGACAAAGATCCTGCAGGTTTGGAAAGGTATCTGCCCATCTCCAGTGGCAGCAGGCGCATGGGTGCGTATCCAAATGTATCCAAGACTCAGCTTCTGATGCAGGCCCCGTAACACAGGTGTCGATAGGTGTGTGGTGGGGCCCTTTGTAGTCACTGGTGATGTTTGGTGGATCTCAGACTGAGAAGACTACATAAAAAACCCAAGTACTTCTTTCTGTGTCAGAGCTTTAAGATTATTAAAATCTACTTATGGCTGATGGAGTTATTATTTATTTTAGAAAGCTGCAGCTGATGGCAAGTTTTTATTTTCTACTTGTGATTGCTCTTCACAAATTCAATGGTATACAGGATTTCTTACTCATGTAAAACAGTGAAATGTTGCCTAATGCTTTTCACTCCCTGTGTTTTCCTATGCAGTTGTAGAACCCTTGGCTGTGTAATTAATATCCTATTTACTGTACGTTTTGGTGCATTACAATCAGGGTCAATGTGTGTTGGAATGATATGACACAGTGTTTCTGATAAGCATGGTAATGAAGAGGCACCAGTTAGCTGTGGATAGACAGATAAACTGTACAGTCATGCCATAAAAACTATTCACTCAGCATTTGTAGAAATGAATGCAACCACTGACTTACAGGCAGGACCATAATTAGCAACAGTTGTTGCTAACTGAGGGTGATATTTTCTCTTTTGTATTCAGATTATGTTGTCAAAATCACACAAACCATCCTTTCTTATTGTAAAAGCACAACTAAATTTTTACCAGAATTGTTCTGATTGCTCTTTAAAATGGAGTTTTGGCAAAGAATTGTCTGAATGTACCTCATGTTAAGCACACTTAGAAAGCAGTGTGATTTGAAGAAAATATCACTAGAACGCACTGAACCTTATTTACTTGGGAAATGAAGTGTGAGTGCAGTCATGTGATGGCAACAGTGTGAGTATTGCAGCTTTTGTTTTCAGCACTGAGAAAATTGAAATCATCTGTAGGATTTCTGCTTGTTTGTTTTTATCTTGTTTTGTTTTTAGGACATCCTTAAGCTTTTTTTTCTCCCATTCTGTAGTGTATGAAACTAATATGTTTGTGAAGGGGGAATTCTAGTCCCACTTTTTTAGCAATTAGGGCAACAGAAAACAGAAATTAAGGCAAATATATGCTCCAGCTTCAACACAAACAGCCCATACTGCATGAAATAGGTTTATACCAACTTTCTATCTGTGCCACAGCTCCTCTTTGTGCAAAGGTGTGGGCTATGATGGGAGCTGCAGAGATCATGATGTGCAAGGCCCTGGGCACACCTACTCCCTTGTGCCCTGGGATACATTTTGGGGGCACCTGCAGCCAGGTTGCAGGTATGGCTTTGGGGGAGACCATAAGCACCAAGGAGACGGTCTGAGGCCATCCAAGACAACTGATCTAGCAACTGATTTAGCTGTTGGCAACCCTGCCCCTGGCAAGTAGTTTGGAACGAGATGATCTTTGAGCTCTCTTCCAACCCAAGCTGTTCTAAGATTCTGTGAGTGCCAAGCACCTCAACCTGCCTCTTGGAACAGAGGGAAGATCAATGATTCATTTATTTAGGAAAGAGGTGGGTGACAGATAAAGCTGCGTGATGCACTGTGACATCTGGCAAAAAAAAAAAAAAGAAAAAAGCTAGGAACATTTCAGCCTAGCAGTATAACACCTTTTCTTTTCCTTCCTTTCAGTGGTGATCATGGCAGTGATCCTCACTGAGTAACTGCCCTGAGGGCATGGTGGATTTCCAGTGGCTTTACATTAATGTCTGGTCAACGAGGTTCCCCCTCCAGCTCAGTATTCAGATTGCTTGTTTAAACATGTCTGTTTTTGCAGATGACCAAGAAAACCCCTTCCTAGTAGCACTGGAAAGCTTTTACCACTCAGCACATCTTTCCTTTCCTAGTATATGACAAGGTAGTAGCCTCGAGCTGAGCCAGGTGAGGTTCAGATTGGAAATTAGGAAACATTTCGTCTCAGAAAGAGTGGTGAGGCAGTGGCACAATCTGCATGGGGAGGTGGTGGAGTCACAGTCCCTAGAGGTGTTCCGGAACTGTGTGGATGTGCCACTGAGGGACATGGTTAGTGAGCATGGTGGGGATGGGTTGACAGGTGGAACAGATGATCTCAGTGGTCTTTTCCAACCTTAATGATTCTATGATTCTATAGTCTGTTTAAAGCCAGTAATGTACACTTGCAGCAAAGGTAGTGAGAATAAAAGGCTTTTCTTTTTTCCCCCCAAATAATGGTACTTACACTTGCTTTTTGAGATCTTTGTTTTCAGCTTGAAAATTCTCAAGGCATCGGGAGCTCAGAAGCATGTCAGGGAAGCCCAGGCTCACCTATATCAATGGAAGAGGGCGAATGGAGACCATCCGATGGCTGCTAGCTGCAGCTGGAGTGGAGGTTGGTTAACACTCAGCTCTTTAAATGGACACTCTGTGAAACAATTCAATATGCACACAGGGAATAAGGGTGCAAAAGGGTGAATAACTTCGTTTTCAAATTAATTTAGGTTTGTGCCTACCCTGTTCAGTGGCTGGTATTTGGCATACAAACTCAGTGGAGCTTTGGATTTCACAGAGCTAGCATCAGTTTTCTGAAGTAATTCTAGTGTGTCTAAACAGGGATTTTTTTAAAAGGCCTTTAATGAATCTCAGTTTTCCAGCTGTGCAAAATCTCTTTGCTCAGTCTCATTTAGATTGCGGTTGCAAAGTGTATAAGAAAAAAGAATGTTGTTGGCCCACTCTTGGGGTAGTGTTAGAAAGAACTGATTTACCTTGTGCTTCCCTTGGCACTGGCTGCAGCCTGCTCTTCCCTCTAGATGTCTGTGTCTCACTTCTGCTTGCACTCCAATAATTTCTGAATCAGTGCAACCAGGCAGAAATGGCCAGGTCCTTCCACTGCTATCCAGCTGTGGGGATGGGTGGAGAGTCCTCAGAGGATTCAGTCAAACAGCACATCTGAAGCCTCGACTCATCGTGTTTTGCTTGGCTGGATTGTTCTGCTCGAGGTTATGTGCAGTCAATTGGAGAAAAATGCCAGAAACATAAAGAGCTCTTCTCTCTTCTTTTCCAGTTTGAAGAAATTTTTCTGCAAACAAGAGAGCAGTTACTGAAGTTAGGCCAAGGTAAGACTGTGATGCTTGAGGCTTTGGCAATCAGAAAGTTGCTCGTATTTAGCTACATTAAAATTTATTTAAACCAAAGCAAAATTCTGGGTATACATCTTGAACGCTGAAATGCCGGTTTTGTGTAACCTGTTCTTTGCAGTACCAAATAACTCCTGTAAGATTGAAATCATAGCTTCTATGACTGTGGTCACAGTAACACATTAAATATGGCTAGCACTGGGAAGTTTAAGGTAGGATTTGACATGGCAGTAAGGCCATGTAAAGCAGCTGTGCAGGATGAGCCAGCGCCATGAATCTTCCCCCAGATAAGTCTGACATGGTCCAAGCAGCCAGAAAGCCTTTATGTAAACTGTGGGAGTGAGACCAGATCCCAACAGCAATGCAAACCCCCAGCCACTGGCCTTCATACTTGCTCAGCTGAAGCCCGGTTTGAAGTCCTCTGCACCACCCTGGAGGGAGAAAGCCTCGCTGCCCAGGTGGGGAAGGAGCTGGGTCTGTGAGGACCACTGCTAGGTTTGCCTGTCCTGAACTTTTTCTGCTGCCCAAGACAGGAACACCCCAGCACAGCAAAGAGACACCCTGAAAAGGACTTGGCTGTGTTCAGGCTGCCCACTCAGATAGGGAAAGCTGTGTTTAAAGAAAAGATGAAAACAAAACTAAAATGCACAAAACACCAGCCATAAAAAAGTGGCATCAGTGAGATCAGTTGTAAGTCTAGCTGGCTTGTAATCTGATGACATGGGAGGGTTGTGTTCTGTTGAGACAATAAATATAGCCCTAAATACAATAGTTTAGGTAGTATAAAGTTAGGTACCCAAATCTGAATTTCCTTCTTAAAGATATTTAACCCAAACAGAATGGCATGATTCTGCATTTTGTAATAAGGCCTATCCATAACCAGAGAAGAGAATTAAGTGGCAAGAAAAAGGATAGGGAAGTCTTCTAAAGAAAATGAAGGCTCTTCAAGTATATACATATACTGAGCTTAAGAGGCTCAGAGCACAAAGAAAAAGGCTGGCTTTGACACGATGAATTGAAGAAAGACGAATATTAGTCATTTGGTGGAGTGATGCCAGATGCTCAGAGCAGGACTGAACATGAGTAAACACCACTCCCTCTACCTCCAGTTTTTTTTCTCTCTCCTTGCCAATGTGCCTCGTTCCAGGAAGCCCTGAGTTCAGACTTCAGAGCACTGTTACTATGGCCAGGTGTGGCTCTGGCCTGTGCCAACTGAAGGTCTTCTAGCAATCCTCCAGCACTTTCTGAGATTCAGCCCAGGCCAGGAACTGTTCCCAGTTCTACAGTTCCAACTGTACCTTGCAGCAGGCAGCTGCTTTGGAGAGACTCCAGTACATCACCTGGCCAGGCCTGTACTCACTGGCCTGAGACCTGCTGGCTTGGCTCGATCTACGTAGCCACAGGTTGATGTTGAGAAGCATTGCTGTTCTGTGGCAAACAGGCCCAGGTTATAGCTCTTTAATGTATGCCCAGAGATGATCATCAGACACACAATACAGTCAGCAAAATGAGTGGCAAACCGCTTTAAATCCTGCATGTATGTTATGTGCAGTGGTTATGTGAAGTGGTCCCATTGCAAAACCAGGAGAAGCAGCCTACTAATGGTCATAAGATAAAAATTCTTCTGTGTAGAGAAGAAACAAACCAGGCATTTAGTGTTCTCACATTTCCTACACTTTATTTCTTGTCAAGGGGCAGAAAGTCAGATTTATTCTTTATTCTCCACTTAGCGCAACTCCTTGCTGAGACGTATGCTTGTATAGCTGCTACTTTTTCCATCCTGTGTTTTTTCTGCTAGATAGGGGTCTTCTTATAGGTGATGTTCTTTCCCAGTCTGCAGAGGTGTGTTCTGGTAAGACATGATGACACAGGATCATTCTGTTACTGTCTATGAGAAATAAATGGACTATTCCTTGCCACAAAGAGAGTTGCTTTTTGAATTTAAGCTGTAAATTAGTGATGTAGTGAAGATTTTTTTATTAGTTCTTGGTTAGCAGAGTATTTTAGTAGCTCTGTAAAGAAGAGAGTAGGTAAAGGTGCTGTGAATTTTTGTACTTGGAAGAAATGCACTATTAATAATGACCAAGCAATTAAAATAAACGCTTAACTTTGAGCAATGCAAAGTGGCAGCTGCCCACTTGGATTTAGAGCTTCAGTGTAATTTTAACAGGTCAGGATTGTTTTTTGGATGCCCATAAACATTTAAATGGAGCAGGGAGTATCTCCAAAGCTGGCAAATGAGTTCAGCAGAAAACTACACTAGAAAAAAAATGGCTTTGCTGTGCCAAACACAAAGTCTCAGCACAACCTTGTTAAAGGATCAGCCACACTGCTTCCAGCACTGGGAGAAAACAGGGCTTGTCAGCACAGGGCAAGAGGGGATAGTAGTAGCATGGCTGGATGGGTTTGAGTTGTTGTGAAATGACACTGGGGACAGACAGGCCTGCAATGGAAATCTACAGGGATGCTCAAAGTCCTGTTTCTGGAGCAACTATGCAAAACTTAGTGAAGCAGCAAGCTGCTGTCACACTCCCCGTCCCTGGCTTCACTGCCTCACAATGAATCTGGCACTGCTTCTCCCAGTGCCCTGACCTTTCCCTTTGTCCCAGTAGCTCAGTCTTACTGTGGTACTACCTCTTTTTTTATTTCCATCCTTGTCTATGTGCCTGCCAGGGAACTGATCTGCATTCAAAATAATTGGGCTTTTTGTTCTGATTTAACACAGCTCTTCATTCTCCTCAGGTCTCTGGGGCTGGAACTGCTGGGTCAGCCTTCTCCTGCCAGCAGGGCCAGGGGCCAGGAGTGCAAGGGAACAGTGCCAGTTCCCGTCAGGCAGTGCAGCCCTGGCAAAGCTGCAAAGCATGGGGCCCAGCTGCACCTCTCTGACCAAGCTGCAAACCTGATGCCTACCAGACAACATTTAATCTTTCCCACAATGTTAATTAACCACATGGAGTTTGAGTTAGGGCAAGGCGTCCATGATTACACTGCAAAAGTAATGCACTCTCCTGTAAAGCTAGAATTCCAGAAGGAACTAACAAGCTCTCATTTGACTTTGTGTTCTAGATGGATCCCTGATGTTCTATCAATTGCCACTGGTTGAGATCGACGGGATGAAGTTGGTGCAGTGCAGAGCCATCCTCAGCTACATAGCAGGGAAATACAATCTCTATGGGAAGGACTTGAAGGAGAGAGCCCTGTATGGTAGCACTTCCTCTTGCTTAATGAGCAATCTGTTATTTGACAGCTGCATTACACTCAACAAATGCAACCCTGTAAATCCAATAAAAAGGTGTAAGAAAGGCTAAGCAAAAAAGCAGACTGCAGCCTTTGTTCAGGATTTAATCGCTGCTTATGAAATGCTGTTGAATAGAAACAGGCTTTTAGCCCTTTTAAAACTTACCTAGCTTTATTTTGTATTTAGTTTTGACTATGAAATTTGGCACTGTGATCGTGATATACAAATCCTATAAGTTGCCTTAGTTAATTGTAATACAGATGAAATAACTCCCACGCTGTTGTCTATTGTCTCCCCTCAAACAGGATTGACATGTATGTGGAAGGAATATCAGATCTGATGCAATTGATTTTGATGTTTCCTTTCTCTCCACCTGAGGCAAAGGAGAAAAATATTGCTACAATTGCAGAGAAGGCAACAGAGAGGTACTTCCCTGTCTTTGAAAAGGTATGTGACAGAGAGGATGCCTAGAAAACTTGCATTTACGGTTATCAGAAACTTTCCCAAAAGTAACATACTTGTAACATACTTGTGGTACAGTTAGATCCAGATCCTCAGTTTTCTTGGCTCTCACAAAGAAGGGAAAATGATACAGCACATCTTCTGTTTGTTAGCTTATGTTGTTGGGGTTGTAATACTGTTACAGCCACCAAGCAAACAAAGTGAAATGTTTTCAGTTTATACAGCATATCTTTTTGCAGATACAAAAACAAGCACATATGTTGTTGCTTTTGGTTTTTTTTTTTCCGTGAGAGAAAATTCCACTCTTGTATTTGTTCAGAGCACATCTCTCTGCTATCCTTCAGTTGAAGAATGCAAAAAATCCCTTGCAAATAAATCAGATAGAGACAAAAACACTGAGGTATTAGGACTGCTTTAGTAAAACAGCCTCAGATTTCTGCATGCCTCACTTGCAAAACAACAAACCAAACCGACGAGTCCTGGCAACACTGTTCACTTTTGTAACATTCATTTAGTTTTGATGGAAAACAATAATAAAGGCTGAACATCCTAGAAGTTCCTATTACTATAACAACTTACTCCCAGAGGCAGGGATTTTCTTTGGTTACCTATTGTAATTTTGCATACTAAGATTGCTTCCTGTATGTTGAACAGAACCATAAATTAAATATCTAAATGGCAATTTTATGAATTCTCTCCAATTCCTTCTTATCTCTATTTATAACCTTATGACTGCTAATAGCTTATTTAAGCATGTGGCTTTGTCTGTTTTCCCAGTATCGATTGTCACCCATCATTACCAAATGACCAGAGTTTGTAATATGGGTTCCATACAACATTCCAACAACAGTGAAGTGATTTGGGCTCACAGATCTCCAGCTAAAAAGTGAAGCTTTGCTTATAATCACTTATGGTCACTGATTAGCTCTACAGCTGTGCCATAAGGCTTAGCTGCCAGGTATCATCTGTAATCCGTGCTCTCTTGTACTCCACAGGTTTTGAAACAGCATGGCCAAGACTTTCTGGTGGGAAACAAATTCAGCTGGGCAGATGTTCAGCTCATGGAAGCCATTTTAGCAGTGGAGGAGAAAGTACCTTCTGTGCTTTCTGGGTTTCCTCAGCTGCAGGTAATGATGTTATTGAACATGTTTGTGTTCAGGAACCACACGGTACAAAGATCTCAAAGATTTCATGAAGGGACAGTCCTGCAGTGATAGTCTCTCCATTCTGTGTAAATCTGTTCTGTGTAAACTACCAGTGTTTGTGTTTGTTTAACATAAAGCACAGCAGCGAATAGATTTTGTTGATTTGTTGTAAGGCACCATGCCCCTGTTTAACCCCATTAAGGCATATCTCTCCCTCTTCAAGTGGCTTATGCTATCTCAGTAGAAATCAATGTCATTCTAAGGAAACCACTGATCTAAGCTGCCCTGTTTTCATTTTCCTGTCTCCTGCTTGTGAATGCTATCTAATACTAATAACAAACTACGTCTGTGACATAGACTGACATGTTAGAATATGATAGAGCGTGCCATTTTCTTTACTGGCTGGTATTATAAGTTTGGGATTCTATTAACTTTACTACTTTACTTTCTAGCATGGCTAGAAACTGAAGCCCTGACCAAAACAAACAAACAAACAACCACAGTTTGCTTTCAGTAATCAACTTGATATCATCAAGGATGAAATTTCTGCTTTTGTACCATGTGCAAAATCTGCAACCAAGCAGAAGTAAGGCAATCAGAAATCGGAAAATTCCAGACCTGCAGCATGCTGTAAGAGCCCAGTGCTCGAGCAAACCTGCAGGAGTCAGAGTTTTGATACAGTGGATCCAAATAGTCTGAGACTAAAAAAAGCAAATATTGTTCAGTAATTCAACCTTGTGCCTGTAATCTTGGTAAACAGAGCAGTGCAAGCAATGCAAATTTAGACTGATAATGCCATGCTTGATATCATTGCTTTGTTCTTAAAAACAGTTAACCTAAAGCATGCACTCAAAGACTTGGGCTTTGATCCCATGAACAAAATAAACAGTCCAGCATCAGACTATCCTAACTGGAATTTCTGCTTGGTCCTTGAAGAAAAGGGGTGGGGAGGAGATGTGATATTCTCCCCTTCCCCCTAAATCGCAACCCCAGCAGTTTGAATTTTGAATGACAGAATGAGCTGCTTTAGCAACAGGGTTGGCAGTGTTTTGTGACAGACTGCAACCTGTGCACCATTTTTCAGCTTCAGGAAATTCTGGCCTCTAGCTCCCATCTTTTGGGAAAATATCTTGTCCACCAGGTATGGACACTGTTCATCTGACATGACTTGAATCATAAGGATGCTTTCATTGCCAGAAGAGAAAATACTTCTAATATTGGTGGTTTTTTACTATACAGTTTTTTACTTTTCTTGCTCCTTCCTGTATTCCCCCTTATCCTTCCAGTGCTTGTAAGGAAGAAGAAATGTTCATGCATGTGCCAGCAAGAAATGGCTGTTGTTCTGTGAAGCTCCTCTCCCTTAGTCCCATTGTCAGAAGAGGTTCTCATATACATAATATTGCTGAGCTAACTGTGGGATATCCAGATGCTCAAAACCTGCTCCAGTGGGTCTTCTCAGACTGTACAGTGAGAGAAGGCATCTCTTGTCATCTCAGATGCCCAAGTCATCCTCATCTTGGCCTCCAGACAAAACTGTAGAAGGGAACTGGCCTGAGGCCCATGCTATATTTGCCAGCCCCATGTAAATAATTTGGCTGTGTTGGGTGAGACACGTAGCACAAGAAGCCTGAGCAGGACAACTGAGTTGAGCAAAGAAATGGCTTCCAGCCATTTCACTTTCACCCATATAATCTTAGAAGTGCCTTGTGGTAAAAATAGAAATCACATTGCTAATTTGGTTTTCCCAGGTGGTAAGTTTGCACCATCATAAGAAGCAATGGGGAAAAAAAGCTTGGTTAGTTCGCATGGACCTTACAAACTAATCCCTGATGCTTCTAGATATTGCAGTTTTGCCTCCAGTTTCTTGCAGGCAGTGGAGATCTAGGTGTTGCTTGCTCCAACACTGCTTTTGCTGATAAGAATAAGCATTTAGCAGCAGCTGGGTCCTTCTGGTGTTAGGCAGGAGGAGCCTGTGTAGATCTCCTCAGCGCTTGAATCTATTCTACCAGCAGGGGGAAGAAGCTGTCCAGTATCCTACGTATGGAAAGTTGCTGCTCGCATCGTCGGGACTTATCCCTCTTGCTTTTATTTTTCAGGCTTTTAAAACCAGAATGAGCAACATGCCTACAATTAAGAAGTTCCTGCAGCCTGGCAGCCCAAGGAAGCCCCCACCAGATGAAAATTATGTAGCAACTGTGATGAAAATTTTTAAGCTAGATTGAGAGCAATGTTAACTTCACTAAGTCCCAAAGTGCTGGGAAGAAAGACATCAAAACCCAAACCCTTGAAGGAAGTAGGAAACTCAGTAAAGTTTTTTTTGGTACTTAAAAGCAATGGTAGAAATAAATAGAAGAGTGAAATAAAGCATTCTGTTTACTCTGGCAATGTGACAGCAAATTTGCCTTTTTAGGTGTCTAATGCTTTGCAGCACATGCAAACAAAGCAGAATGGAAGCAAAGAACTCTGCCAGAGTAGGGAACTTACTCCTTTGTAAGGAGAGTGATGAAGTGCTAGTATGGAAGAATGATCCAAGGGGTGGAACCCCTATGCTGTGAGGACAGGCTGGGAGAGCTGGAGCTGTTCATCCTGGAGGAAGGAAGGCTCTAGGGAGACCTGAGAGCACTGGAACAGGTTGCCCAGAGAGGTGGTGGACATCCTGTCCTTGGAAACGTTCAAGGTGGGTCTGGATGTGGCTCTGAACAATCTGATCTAGCTGTAGATGTCCCTCTTCATTGCAGGAGAGTTGGACCAAACGATCTTTAAAGGTCCCTCCCAACCCAAAATATTCTGTCTCTATGACTCTGTGAAAATAGGTTTCAAAATAATGACTACAGAAGAGAACAAAGAGAAAAAAAAAGAAATTGGAAAAAAATTTGAAAGGTGCATCTGGTGAAAAGAAAAGAGAATAATGAACCTTCTTTGCAGATTGCTTGTTCTACAGCATACTCACCATGGTTTCCCAGGCAGCAGAATATGCATGCTCCCTTCAGAGCTGCACCACTGTAGACAGCTGAGATCACTGCTCCTTCAACAGAGATGGGCAAGCCAAAATTTTGGTCTCCTGCAAACACAGTGAGAAGAAACTGTAACAGAGTTACAGTTAGAAGACATTGTTTAATTAAGCATATCCATTTCTCTGCTTCTGGAGTAATACAAAAATGTCTGTTATTACTAACATTTTCCCTACATCTTTGCATTAGCTGTAAAACAAAAGGACAAAAAATTACTTCTGTTAGGGTGCAGTAAGATGAAATGGGGTCTTTAACTGAATGTAGAATCACAGAATCACCAAGGTTTGAAAAGACTTCCAAAAAGTCCAGCTGTGCACCTATCACCAATATTTTCCCACTATACCATGTCCCTTACTACAACATCTAAATGTGTCTTGAACACCTCCAGGGATGGTGACTCCATCACCTCCCTGAGCAGCCTGATCCAGTGCCTGACTACTTTTTCAGAGAAGAAATCTTTCCTAGTGCCCAACTTGAGTTTCTCCTTGTGCAACTAGAGGCCATTCCCTCTAGTCCTATCACTAATTATGAAGAAGAGGCTGATCCCCACCTTGCCACAACCTCGCTTTGGGTAGTTGTAGAGGTCTATAAGGTCTCCCCTGGGCTTCCTCTTCTCCAGGCTGAATAATCCTGGTTCCCTCAGCCACTTCTCATAACATTTGTGCTCCAGAGCCCTCACAACATCTCTGTCCTTCTCTGGACACGCTCCAGAGCATCAATGCCCTTCTTGTGGTGAGGGGCTCAAAACCAAACACAGCACTCAAGCTGCAGCCTTAACAGTGCTGAGTACAGGCAAATGATCACCTCTCTGCACCTGCTAGCAGAACTATTTCTGATACAAGCCAGGATGCCATTGCCCTTTGTGGCCACCTGGGCACACTGCTGGCTCATGTTCAGATGGCTGTTGACTAATACCCCTAGATCCTTCTCCTCCTTGCGGCCTTCCAGCCTGTAGCATGCTGGGGTTGCTGTGGCCAAAGTGCAGGACATGGCACATGGTATTGTTGAATTTCATCCCACTGGCCTCAGCCCAGCAATCCAGCCTATATAGATCAAATATGCTCTGCATGTTGTCAAAAGCAAGTTATCTTTTACTGCTACTTTTGATACCATCGTGTATTTTTTTGGTTATGAACTGCAAACACTGAAACTCATCTTTTTGCAGTACTTCTCCATCTGAAGTCAAGTCTATGCCTAAGTACATCTGTAACACAGTGAGTGCTAGCAAGTTCTTTATTCACATGCATCTTTATACTCCAGGCATAAATAGAACTGAAGTAGAAAATACCCTTGCATGAGTTATTCCTGTGTGTGAAGTGGAGAGATTACAGTTGTAAAATTCTAAAAATAAAAAACACGTCCCTCAATGTTATCAAGACTGTAGGCAAGCTAAACAAGACAGCTGATTTTCTGAAAATAGATGTGCTGAAAATACTTTAGCACATCCTATTTGCAATTCAACTGTGTAGAGATACAGAGTGTTAATGACAAGTGCATCTCCTGAAGAACGAAACTGTATGGGACAGGAGACGCATAGGCACAGAGAGCACCAGCACTTTAACAAGCCATACTGATGGTCCAAGCTCCATGCATTATGAGAGAGAAAGCAAATGCAGACTTACTGTACTTGGTGCAAAAGTCTTTTTTTTTCCATGCCCACCTTGAGTTTCAAAGCAGAAGTTTGTATTGCCCATCAGTTCTCCACTTTTCATCCATTTCACCTCCTGACTGTTGAGAAAAAAACTAACAATCATGTGGCTGACATCTCTCCCTCTAGAGTAGTGAGTATATAACAGAATGGGAGCAAACTAGAGGGAATGTGAAGAAAATCTGAAAGCAGGCAATGTGCTTCTGAGGAGAGAGTCGTGATGTGAATGTGCAGAGAGAGCTTTAAAGGCAACAGTGAGCAGGTAACTCCCTGGAGCTATGTTACTGATAACTGCAGGGCTATGTTGTGTAAACTTATCCTTGAGTGTAAAAGATTGCTTGGTTAATACCTACCCAGCCGGATTATGAGGGTGGAAGTCATGAGAAATGTGTTGTGGGATTGAATGTGTGAGTTGGGTTTTAGGTGTGGTGAACACATGGAGTGACAGTTCAGAAAATCCAAGAAGTACCCAGTTGGTTTGAATGATACAGAACACCAGATGTGTGCTTTGTGTCTGCAACAAGGCAGGGCCGGGCATAGCCCTGCAGGTCTCCTTGGTCACAGCTGAAGCTCCCTTCCCTACGATTCCTCCTCCTCCTATGAATACAGTAACACAGTGCAGTTTGTGCATGCACCAGTTTCCCTTACATTTTAAAGACTGGCTTGGATTTTTGAGCATAGCTCCAGCCCAAGCCAAAGGAATTCTGACACATTTTATGGGAGAGGAAAATTGACAAGGTTTGATGATGCAAAACATTCTTTGCTTGCTCAGGAGATCAGTATTGTATGTGAGAAACCAATTATTACATAGATCTGTGTTATTATTTTAAAGGAAGACCCCAGATGGGAACAGGCTGGTGGCCAGCAGCAGCACCAGTGCTGAATATTCTCTCTGTTAAGTTATTAAGGTATATATTAGAGATTTCCCCTAGCTTTCCCACCTGGATTGTTCATCTGAAGAGAGAAGAACTTAAAAATCAGATGCCTTCACACATGACAGATTTTGACCTTTTGAGTGCCTACTGCTGTCTTTGTTTGGGATATCAGCTGTGGTTTCAGTGTTTTTCAGAGGGATTTGTCCTGCCTGGATTTAGATCTATTTAAAGGAGATCACATGGCTGGACTGGATGTAGATGTCTACAAACTCAGCTGAAATGAGTTTTACCCAAGCTGTCTACACTGGGATTAACTTCCATGCTCAAATTCTTACCTTTCAGTTCTTTGATACAGTGAAGGTGAAGTCCTGGTAGGTGCAGTTCCTAGACATTCTAGGATATTTCCTAGAGTTCTTGACTTTGTAAAGGCAAGGATTGAAAATGATTAATATTCAACCTCATAGTGAGTTAATACGTATATCACTTGGAAAGTAATGCCTCCCATTCATTAAGAAGGAAACTACCACTGATACAAGGTGCACAATAACACTTACTGATAGAACAAATTCTCAACTACAAAACAAGATTTTTCAACGTAGTCACCTCCATTAGCTATGCATTTTGCCAGTGATGAACAAGAGCCTGCATGCTGAACTCTTAAAATCTGCACCAAAAGAGGTGAACCGCTGTCACTGTTGCCACTGCAGGAACACTCCACCCACCTCCTCGCTGAGCTGGCACAAGCAGTTTGATCTCCATAAATGTTCTGCATGCCTTTATGAATCTCAAGGGTTGCAATTTTTTCCTCAGGGAGGAATTCAATTACACACCTTTGCTTCAAATGAGCTTTGAGATCAAATGCTATTTTGTCAAAGCAGTGGCAAGAGGCTGGTAGACGTCCAGGGACATGCACCATGGTGTGGACACTCTGGTGTTGGTGGCTGAGCAGCAAATCTATGCTATCCTTCATCATCTATGAGGATCACCTGAAGGAGAGAGCCCAGCTACCGAAGAACTCATTTATTTGACTACATTTCACACTTCCTCTGTATAATACCAGAAGAATATCCCAGCTCACATTTAGACCTGGAGTGATTATTCAGCAGATTTTCACAGAGTACACGGACCTTGCTTGCATGGGGCAAGGGTGTTCATGCAGTACTGTCTCTTAGGAATCAACACAATTATCTAAAGACAACCGTTCAGAGTTTGCCCTCCTGATGCCAACCACTCTCCTTTCACCACATCCTACTGTCATTAGAAGCAATCATTTCGCCGGGTCAAATCCTGGGTAATATCTCTGATAGAAAGTACAAACCACTTCTATGTCCAAGAATGAGATTCAGGAGAAGAAAATGTCCTGAAGGAATATCCCCTGCCTCTACAGGAAGGAAACAAAACTGATGAAGGATTCATGCTGAAAATAATTGATAAAATGTGCATGAAAAGGTACAAAACTAGGCACAGTTGTCCTAAATCATGATGACCTCTCACAAGTGTTATGTATGTGCACTGTCAGCGCTAGTCAGGAATTAATTTCCTGTAGTTAATAAGTGATTAAAACCAGATATTTTAATTGATTAAGAAATGGCGTTACCCAACAGCAGAGATGTGTCTGCAATTTGCTTTGTAGGAGGAGCTCCATAAAAAAAATCTCCATAACCTCAGGGCAAAGCTGCTGAGAGCTCTGCACAAAGCCCAGTCAGTGCAAGGTAAGCTTTTTGACTTCTGAGTATGCAAAGGGAATTAGTGTACTTGATGCTAAAATCTGTGGATGGATTTTGTGAATTTAATACCTTCAGGTGCATTCTTTGTTAACATGGTTTTGTGCATCAGATGATTAATTAATAATTAACTGCTTTGTATGCACTCAGTTTGAAGAGAGATCAGCTTAGATCTCAGAAGTGTGAAGTGGTTCCTGTTTTAGAGACAATGGCATGCTGTTTACAGGGGGGATATGTTTTGTTGTAGCCATTTGCTTTTTGCTGCAGTTCATACTTCAGCTTGTTTGTTGACTTGTTTTTCATAACTGTGACATGAATATGAAGTGGGTGCTGCCTACACTGTTACTGTTTGTTGTGCCCTGGTTCTGAATGGGGCAGGTGCCCACTGCCTGGAGACAATTATTTCTTTAAATCCCAGCATGAGCTGGAGTAGAACTGAGCAGGGATTTCACTTTGTCTCAGTCTGGTGACAGCAGCCGAATGATATCAGAGACAAATTCAATTGTGTATTTTAAAGAAAGGAGAAGGAATGGGGATTGTTGTGAACTAGATCGCGCATGTATAAGGAGGGAGGGAAAAATCTTTCCTGTCACTTTAAAGCGGAGCCTAATGGCTACCAAAGAAACTACAGCGATTTCTACATTTATACTGTGTGTGGAGCAATGTGTATTACACAACCAGCTTTTCTGGCAGAGCTGAGCACTTTGATCTAGAAATGGACTTTGTTTTGCACATTCTGATATGGGCCAAATTCTTCCAGTACACAGTTCTGCTTTACTAAACTGTGTGTTGAAAATTCATTACAAGCTTTCAGTCTAATCTCCTCTGATTTGATGAGAGTCCTGCATCATCAGTCATTGATTTAAAAGAAGACAACTTTGTGCAGAGCTTGAGAACCAGCTGGAGATTCAGGAACAGCATTCTGATCCTGCTTGATTTGTGATAGTTCTTCTTTATTATAGGCAGCAGGAAATCAGATACGTGGAAACATGTCTGGGAAGCCAGTTCTGCACTATGCTAACACACGAGGCCGAATGGAACCAATAAGGTGGCTGCTAGCGGCTGCTGGAGTTGAGGTTTGTCTACAGTTGTTCTACTAAAAGCATGTGACAAATACTCACAGTATTCCTTATAAAAAATGCACAGCCATTACAAAACAAAGGATCATCACTTCCTTACCCTTCGCAGGAGAAGCAACTTCCTTCTTCATTTCCAACATCATGTGACGAGCACAGTCTTAGCATTTTAAACATGTCTTCCTCGTGACTGCTGAAATAAATTATTTAAAACTTGGCTTATTGTCCTCTAATCAGAGGAATCAAGCACTTTACATTCTGAAAGTTCTAAGTTTATCCCTGAGCATACTGTATATTAAAAAACACTTTATTGTTTTAACTTTAATTATTTCTAGATAATAGAGCAGGGAATGTGCGTTTTAGGAGCCGAACTTTTTGTTTGCTGTTGTGATGGCAACACACCAAAAAGCAATAGTTTTCATCCCTCCTTTTGTCAGCTTGTGGAATAGGAGCTCTAACATGAATCCAACTTTCCAGCATGAGTATTCCTATTCTCCTCCCTGCAACATCTCCTGCCAGGGCTCAGATCACAAGCACAGAATCATACAATCATAGAATGGATTTGTTTGGAAGAAACCTTTAAGATTCCTCTGCTACAGGCACAGACACCTCCCTCTAGACCAGGCTGCTCAAAACCCCATCTAGCCCCAGGAAGGGGCATCCACAACCTCTCCGGGTGACCTGTTCCACTGTATCACCACCCTCACACTTTCTTCCTGATCTGTAGTATAGATCTTTTCCAGCATCATGCTTGCTATTTCTTCAGAAGAGAAACTTTTGTGCCTTCACTTCAGGTTTAGCCAAAATGTCATGGGCACAAAAATACAAATTTGCATGGGAGAGTGATGAGGAGACAACAGGGCAAAGGCAAACTAACTATTCAAAACCTTATTTGGCATTTCTGAAACAAAATTCCCTCTGCATTGCATTTTGGGCCCTTGTTGTCTCATGGCAAGTTAAAACGTATTTCCTTCTGTATTCCCTGCAGTTTGAAGAAAGATTTCTGGAAAAAAAGGAAGATCTCCAAAAGTTAAAGTCAGGTAAGTTTCCTTTAGTTTTTAATAATCAGATAACAATGACCTTTAGAATTGTGTGTTCTAGAACATGACAGGAATCTTATGTCTCTTGAAAAGAAAACCTAAACTGGCTGGTACAGATGGAATCACAGACAAGCACTGTAGTAAGCATCACCTCGGGGTCCATCTGGCACGACTCCTGCTCATATACCCAGAGTAGGTCCCCAGGACCACATCCAGGCAGCTTTTGAAGATCTCCAAGGAGGAGACTCCACAGACTGTGGGCAAACTCTGCCAGCACCCCATGACCCACACAGTAACTGTGTTTCCTGGTGTTTAGATGGGAACTCACTTTACTCATTGGCACTTGCCTTATGTCAATATATTATCTGCAGTCAGATCATCTTGAAGCACGAGCACAAACAAAAATATCTTTAATAGCAAAAAGTTTCTGTTTGTGTGCATGCCTGTCTTAGTGTGGCTACAAAGGTGGACGCAGCTGATGGGTTAGCTGTGTCAAGAAATGTGATTCCATGAAGCAAATACAGTTTCTTCCAACAGCTCCCAGCTTGCCTTCTTCCTTCCTAGTGTAAGACTTACACAGACAAGCTGAGATTTACACAGCTACGATCTCACACCAATTGGTATTTGGCTTATGCAGGAATCATGTGAATTGCCAACCATTATTCCCTGCTTCAAGCATGGTTTTGTAGAAAGTCAGTGTAGGAGTCATAAGGATAAAAACTAACATGTATATTAATGTAAAACACTGACAGAAGTCTGGGTTTCCAAAATCCTTACTAAGGTATAACAGAATTTGGTGCATGATAGGTCAAATCCTTTAGTGTTTAGAATCTGTACTAACCTCAACAAAAATCAACTGAATTAGGGCCACGCAGTTCTGGACTTGTGTTTTTCAGCATATGATTGCTGAAAGATCTGCATTTGGGCACTTCTTCGGATTTGAAGAAACTTCAAGAAACTGTTAATAAGTTATTAGTATATCACTAATGAATGGTCTTGTGGCAAACCATTCCACACCATATTATGAGAGTGAGGAATCAAAAATAAGAATGGTGGTTATTTTCCCATATCCCCACAGATGGTCTTCAGTCACAAACGCTCAGCATCTCCTTGTTGTCTTCTTCCCCAGATGGATCCCTGCTGTTCCAGCAAGTGCCCATGGTGGAGATCGATGGGATGAAGTTGGTGCAGACCAGAGCCATCCTCAACTACATAGCAGGGAAATACAATCTCTACGGGAAGGACCTGAAGGAGAGAGCCCTGTACTGTACCAGTACTACCTTTGTTTGTTAGCTCGTAGCTGGTACTGCCTTTCTGCAAACAAAATATGTCGTAACACAGAATATCTCAGCTCACATTCAGAATCATAGTGGTTCAGCAAGATTTTTTATAGCATGTGTTGACCATGACTGTGGGTGATGTTTACAGTAGTAATAAAAAGCTAGATAAGGCAGGCAGGATGGCGTAAGGGAATTTATAAAGATCAGAGTTCAACATGGTTATCAGAAAGGAAAAAACAAAAGCACTGGGGAACCATGGTTTAACCTGAAGTATGCTAAAATGCTTCAATTTAATAAGCATAATTCAAGATACCTGTTAGGAATTGTACAGCCCCACTGTTTGATTAAACATAGCTAGTGAGAGCTTTGGCATCGGTTTGGATACACCCATGTCAATATGCAATTCTGTATTCATATTTGAAAAAACTTAATACAGAGAAGTATCGGCCCTGGTGAAAAATGAAGGAGTACAGCCTTTTACTGATGGGTTTAAGTTTGTACCTGTTCCAATATTCTGACCTTCACTATTTGACTTGACCAACTAGATCTGTTCCTTTCAGAATTGACATGTATGCGGAAGGATTGGCAGATCTGTATGAGTTAATCATGATGAACGTTGTCCAACCAGCAGATAAAAAGGGGGAACATCTTGCTAATGCTTTGGACAAGGCTGCAACAAGATATTTACCAGTCTTTGAGAAGGTACGTGGCAATGATTTAGTAGCTTAATTAATATTGTTTTCCTGAAACTTCATTCCTGGTCTACACAATCTTTTTATTCAGACTAAAGGAAAGGAAAAATTCCATGTAAATGCTTTGGCTGTGGTGGGAGTGAGATAAGGCTGGAGACAGAACAACTCAGAGGAGACAGAAGACACTGCAGATCTAGGAGACATGCAGAGCTGTAACAAGCCAGGACACACTGAGTTCCACAGATGTCCATGTTTCAGTCTGCATTTGTTTCAGAAAAAAGCCACAGTAGCACTGGGTTCTACCTGAAGCCTCCTCCTGAAGTACAGGACCCTCTGACCAAACGTGCATTAGAAGCATTGCAGCACACATACAGAAGAAGGATTGCAGGTCCTTTTGTAATTGAAAAAGGAAAAAAAGGGAGATGGGTGAGCTGGAAGCAGGATGTCAAGAAACTGAGGCACGGGCTACATGCAGAGAGCCCCAGTGCAATATTCCCCCAACTGAAGCAGAAACAGGTGAGAAATAAGGGAGCTACCCATCACTTGAAAGAGACCAAGATCTCCTACAATGGCCTGGGCTGAATTCGTGTCTCTTGCAAATGTTGTACAGTGCTGGTTGTGTTCCATGATGTGTAGACCAACACTGAGTGAGGAAGTGCTCAATTACAGGGGCTACAGAACGGAAGGCAAGAGGGCTAGTCCTCAGCTGCCAGGAAAAAGAGAAGAAAAGCTGTAGAAGGGAAAGGACCGATGTAGAATGGCTGTGATGACAGAGTGGTGATCTGCTTGCAGTACAGATGTTCTCATTACTTCTTCTTGCTTCAGGGACAATTCCATGAGAGAAAGACTTGAAGTAACATTAAGTGGCATGCCTACATATCACACCTGCTTCTGTTCCATGTTTTTAGGTTTTGAAAGACCATGGGCATGACTTTCTTGTTGGCAACAAGTTGAGCAAAGCAGATGTGAGTTTACTGGAAACCATTTTAGTGGTGGAAGAGTGCAAGCCTGATGCACTTGCAAAATTTCCTCTCTTGCAGGTAATTGCGTAGACAGTTTTAAAGGAAATAACCAAAACAGAGCCACTGATTTAAATTGGTTGAGAAAATGGTGGGAGGTTAAGAAAAAACGAAAAGTCAAATACCCTAAGTGGTACTGGCCAGCCTGAAATACTGATAGTTATGGTGGTCTTCTGTCACCTCAGCCACCAGGGTATTGAAATGTATGGTAGGCTGAAGCATAGATTCTTAAGATACCATAATATCTCAAGTTGAAAGGGACCTTTAGATCATGGATTCCAGCTCCTGGCTCCACAGAGGACCACCCAAAATTGAAACTCTGTCTGAGAGCATTGTCATTGAACTCTGGCCTTTCGGGGCGGTGCCCAACGCCCTGGGCAGCCTGTTCCATGTCCATTCTGACCCTTCACCTTCTTGGTAGCCCTCCTTTGGACACTCCCCCGTAGTTTATCATCCTTGTAATATTGTGGCACCCAAACGTGCATGCACTGCTGGAGGTGAGGCCACACAGTACCCTCTGGGGAGTCAAGTGCTCCTCTTAGGATCATCTGCAAACCTCCTTTGAATGCATTTGAGTCGTACATCCAGATCATTATAAGCACACTACAGGACTGGACTTAGAATGGTGCTACTGGGGACCTGCCACCAGGCTTATGTAAAAAACCTAAGAAACCTCTGTTCTGATAGCTGCCGTTGTTCTTAAGCACAGTGCTGTTTCCCTTTTGTTTTGTAGAGTTTTAAAGCAAGAATAAGCAACATCCCCAACATCAAAAAATTCCTGCAGCCTGGCAGCCAGAGGAAACCACCTCTACAGGAAAAAGATTTACCAAAGCTGATGGCAATTTTCCAGTGAACATCAACCTAAACCCACCGAAACTCCTTTTTTTTTTGCCTTTGTGTTTGCTGACAAGCAAAGTGAAATTAATGAAATTAGTGAGAAGATTTGTGATGTCTCTTTCTTTTGCCTACAGCAAATACTTCCAAAGCAAATCACTCAATTAGGAAGTACACTGGATGAAATTGTCTTAAATACTTAAGTTTTCCTCAAATAAAGTCCCACTACTGACGTTACAGTGCGTGCTCAGTGACATCTTGCTGCTCCTCACACATCGGAGGGTTTCCCCGTTCTCTCTTACAGGCGTTCCCCAGAGTTAACTGGGCGAGCTGGCCTCACGAGGGGCAAAAACCCGAAACTCAGCAGTGCGTTTACAAGGCACAGCGCGCACTGACGGCACCGCCGCGCAGGGAGGCGCCAAGTCGGAGCGCCGCCAGCCAGCAGCGGCCAGCCCCCAAACCGCCTCGCCCGGGACCGCCCACAGCCAGCACAGCGCGCCGGGGAGGGCCGGGGGGTGGAGCTGGAGTGGTGTGCTGTGCGTGGCGGCGGAGGTACAGGAGGCGGGGGGACGGCCGGATTGGCGTCGAGACCCAGTTTGCGGTTCTGCTGTGCAGTCTCGGGCGGTGATTTGCTTTTATAGCCTTTCGGGAGCCTTTTCCAGCTCGAGTGGTTGAAGAACAGAACTTTTAGCTCGAATTGCAGTGGAAACAGCCCTCTGGTAAGCAGTCGCAGTCACAAGGCCGTGCTGGCTGCGGCAGGGTCTGTGTTCTGAGGTCCTTCTGCCTGAGCAGCCCGTAGGAATGTGTGCGGGAGCAGAGCATCGCCCCGGGCTGCGTGCGGCGAGGGCAGCGTTTAAGTACGGGCTCGGAAGTTTGCTTCTGTGCTTCTTCCAGGAAGGCCGCTAACAGGATTGTTTTGAACAAAACACACACACAGAGAAAGAACCGAGAAGACAGTGCTCACAGCTGTAGCAGTCGCTGTGGTGTGGCTTGGGCCACTCGGAGGCCCATGGCAGCAGATGTGGGTGGTTTGTGACTCTCTTTGGGCCCAGCAGTGCTGCTCAGGAAAGGTGCACGTTTGCTACGCAGATGTGAGTGGATGCCTTCCAAGGAGGTGTGTTGCAGAGCGGTAACAGAATCCCTTCAGCACGGTGCCAGCACAGTAGGTGTTGAGCCCAAAGCCCAGAGCTGGTCCGTCAGCCGTGCCATTGCTGGAAGATCTCTGCTCTTCCTCTCGTGGCCCAGAGCTTCAGGCCTTGGCCGGTGTGTGAGGGAGCTGTGATGGACAAGTGCAGCCTGGTACAGGGGTTCTTTTGCTGACGCTGGCGAGCGTGGCTTTGGCTGGGTTGCTTTTTACCAGCTGTCCCTGTGCTTTGGGGAAGGTCAGGGAAGTTTTCTCTTTCTGCTTCGCTAGCCTGCCCTTGTAGTGCATTTCCCAGCCTGTAGGCACATGTTGGAGGTTGGAGTGCTCGTCCAGTGCTGATCCATGGTGTGAGGGCCCTGAGTGCAGCTCTGTCCTCAGGAGACCATCACCTATTTCTGGAGCACCATGGAATGAAGTAATTCTGAAAGAAATGCTGTTTGGGAGCACTACTTTTATTGGAGTAGTGCCAGTCATCCCCTTAGAGGAAAGAGAAATAGAGCATAGATCGTGGTCTTCTGTGTGTGCATGCAGTGTAGCCGTAACTTGGCACTTTCCTAAATACCTTATGGCTGTTGAGGTATTCGTTAGGCATCAAGCAGCTCTGGTCCGATTTGTCAACACTTTATCAAGTCCTTGTTATCAAGCACCTATTTATGTGAAAGGAGAGCTTTGCTGAAGGAGACTGAAATGTCTGGGAATCCCCAGGGCAAGATGTTAGCTGAGCAGAGGTTTGGAGCCCCTGTTGCTTGGGCAGAGTGCTGCAAAGCTTGGGCTCTTCCTCATAGAGCATGTTGAACATAGCACCCAACATAATGAGCTTCCGAGGACTTGGGTGTTTGTGTACTCAAAGTCAGACCGTTTATTGCCAAGAAGACACAAACTGTAACTGCAAGCTAAGCAGCAGAGAGAAAGGGAGCAAGCTAGAGAGAAGAAAATCTGAAAGCAGGCAATGTGCTGCTGAGGAGAGAGTGGTGATGTGAATGTGCAGAGAGAGCTTTAAAGGCAACAGTGAGCAGGTAACTCCCTGGAGCTATGTTACTGATAACTGCAGGGCTATGTTGTGTAAACTTATCCTTGAGTGTAAAAGATTGCTTGGTTAATACCTACCCAGCCGGATTATGAGGGTGGAAGTCATGAGAAATGTGTTGTGGGATTGAATGTGTGAGTTGGGTTTTAGGTGTGGTGAACACATGGAGTGACAGTTCAGAAAATCCAAGAAGTACCCAGTTGGTTTGAATGATACAGAACACCAGATGTGTGCTTTGTGTCTGCAACAAGGCAGGGCCGGGCATAGCCCTGCAGGTCTCCTTGGTCACAGCTGAAGCTCCCTTCCCTACGTTTCCTCCTCCTCCTTTGAATACAGTAACACAGTGCAGTTTGTGCATGCACCAGTTTCCCTTACATTTTAAAGACTGGCTTGGATTTTTGAGCATAGCTCCAGCCCAAGCCAAAGGAATTCTGACACATTTTATGGGAGAGGAAAATTGACAAGGTTTGATGATGCAAAACATTCTTTGCTTGCTCAGGAGATCAGTATTGTATGTGAGAAACCAATTATTACATAGATCTGTGTTATTATTTTAAAGGAAGACCCCAGATGAGAACGGGCTGGTGGCCAGCAGCAGCACCAGTGCTGAATATTCTCTCTGTTAAGTTATTAAGGTATATATTAGAGATTTCCCCTAGCTTTCCCACCTGATTTTCCACCTGATTGTTCATCTGAAGAGAGAACTTAAAAATCAGATGCCTTCACACATGACAGATTTTGTCTTTTTTGAGTGCATTCAGCTGGCATCGGTTTGGGTATTTAACGTGGTTGAAGTGTTTGATGAAGGTTTCCTCCTACCCATATTTAGGTCTACTGAAAGGAGAGCAGCAGGAAATCTGTGCTGTCCATCACCATCTGTGAGGAGCACAAGAAGGAGCAAGCCCTGTCCTGCAACAGCTCAATTCTTTAACTACAGCTCATTCTCCCTCTCTGTAATAGCAGAATAATGTCCTGGCCCACATTCAAGCCTGGGGTGATTCAGCACTTTTTCACAGAGCACACTGACCTTGGGTGCATGTGTTGCAAAGAGATTAAACAGGAAATTAAACAGGAGGTTGGTTGGGGGCAAAGGAGATTATAAGATACTAAACTCTTTGGTATTTACAGCAGCTCTGATTACTATTAAGTAGCAAATTGCAATATAGTAAAAATGGGAAGTATAAGATTTGTTTCTGTCACACTTGTCCAACACGATGGTGACCTCTCACAAGTGTTACAAATGTGCACTGTTGGCATTACTTTATTGACTATTGTAGGTAATAAGTGATTAAAAGTAAATGTCTTAATGGCTTAAGTTATGGTGTTTCCCAACAGCAGAGAAATATCTGCAATTTGCTTTGTAGGAGAGGTTAAAAGCTCCATAACCTCAGGGCAAAGCTGCTGAGAGATCTTCACGAAGCCCAGTCAGTGCAAGGTAAGCTTTTTGGCTTTTGGACTTGCCTAGGGAATTGGTGTACTTGATGCTAAAGTCAGTGGATGGATTTTATGGATTGAATACCTTCAGGTGCGTTCTTTGCTAACATGGCATACAGAATGAAGAGAGATCAGCTTAGATCTCAGAAGTGTGAAGTGGTTCCTGTTTTAGAGACAATGGCATGCTGTTTACAGGGGGGATATGTTTTGTTGTAGCCATTTGCTTTTTGCTGCAGTTCATACTTCAGCTTGTTTTTTGACTTTTTTTCATAACTGCGACATGAATATAAAGTGGGTGCTGCCTACACTGTTACTGTTTGTTGTGCCCTGGTTCTGAATGGGGCAGGTGCCCACTGCCTGGAGACAATTATTTCTTTAAATCCCAGCATGAGCTGGAGTAGAACTGAGCAGGGATTTCTCTGTAGCTCTGCCTGTGCTGAAGGACAGCAAGATGTTAGCCAAAACAAAATTGGGCACTGGCCTAAAGAAAGTAGAGGAACAGAGACTTATTAGTTTGAGCGCAGTGCTGGGAACGATAAGGTAAAGTCTTTGTCCTTTCCCCCAGTCCTTATCCATAAGGAACTGAGGAGCAGAGAGGTCCAGGAAGGCTGGACATTGCTCAAAAATGAAATCCTAAAGTCACAGGAACAAAGTGTCCCCCTATGCCATAAGATGAGCTGGTGGGGAAGAAGGCCAGCCTATCTTATCAGGGAACTTTTGCTGAGACTCCAGGAAAAAAAGACAGTTCTCTACCTTGTAAAGGAGGAATCTCCATCCTTTACTGGATGTGACAGGCAACGTTACCAATGAAGGTGAGAAAAAGTCTGAGGATCTTAATGCCTTCTTTATTTCTGTCTTCAATAGTCAGACCAGTTATGGGCAGAGTACTGAGTCCTGTGAGCTGGAAGACCGAGATGGGGAGCAGCATAAAGCCCCAGAATTCAGGAGGAAGTGGTTAGCAACCTGCAGGTCCCCTGTACTGTTTCAAGTCCATGGAGCCAGAAGGTAGCCACCTGAGGGTACAGAGGAAGTTAGTGGAACAGCTTGTCAAGCTGCTTTTGATTGCTTCTCAGCTGTTCTGGACAACCAGGGATGTTCCAGAAGCCTGGAGGCTTCTGGGTGATGCTTAGGATCTACTAGAAGGTTTGGAAAGATGATCCAGCAAACTGTAGTTCCATCTGCCTGACCTCTGTATCAGGGAAGGTCACAGAGCAGCTTAAGTTCTATCACATGGCTTGTTCTGGACAAGGAGGGATTCAGGCATAAACTGCAAGGGTTCATGTAAGCAACATCCTGCTTGACCAACCTGCTCTCTTTCTATGACCAAGTGACATGCCAAGAGGATGAGGGAAAGTCTGTGAATATGGTCTACCTGGACTTTAGTGAAGGCTTTGACAGTCTCTCAGTGGTGAAGCTGACAATCCATTGCTTGGACAGACATACACTGTGCTGGTTAAAGAAGAGGCTGGGTGTCCAGACCCAGAGAGTGCTGCTGAATGGAGAAAATGCAGTGTTCAGATTTGGGTCCCTCCCGTCCCTGGAGCACATTCAGATAATTCCAGTGAAACTGTGGAGGGTGTGGAGCACAAGTGTTATGAGGAGCAGCAGAGGGAACTGGGGTTGTGTGGTCTGGAGCAGAGGAGGCTCAGGGGAGACCTTATTGCCTTGAACAGCAAAGGAGGTTGTTGCGTGGTGGGGGTTGGCCTCTTCTCCACGGTAATAATTGACAGGGCAAGGTGCTGGCCTCAAGTTGCACCAGAGGAGTCTCAGGTTAGGAAAGCAGGTTCAGATATTAGGAAAACAATTTATTCTCAGCCATAACAGTGAGGTATTAGAACAGGCTGCCCAGGGAAGAGGTGCACTCACAGTCCCTGCAGGTGTTCAAGAAGAGCACAGATGTAGCACTGAGGGACGTGGTTAGAGGGTGTATAGGGACTGCTGAGTCACTGGTTTAAAAGAAGACAACTTTGAGCGGTGCTTGAGAACCAATTGGAGATTGATGAACAGATTCTGATCCTGCTTGATTTGTGATAGTCCTTTGTTTTATCTATCAGGAAATCAGATACATCGAGACATGTCTGGGAAGCCAGTTCTGCACTATGTCAGTGTACGAGGCCGAATGGAACCAGTGAAGTGGCTGCTAGCAGCTGCTGGAGTTGAGGTTTGTATATGGTTGTTATACTAAGAACACGTGACAAACACAAACACTTGTTTATAGTATTCTTTATTAATAATGGGACATACCTGCAGTTTCAGATTCTCCCTTTAATACATTACAACCAGAACCAAGCCTGTGATGCCACAGTGCCTGTTTCTCTTCCAAGCACTGTGTGTCAGTCCCACTGTTAGCATTATACATCCATGTCCCTGGAGAGAAGTGAAAGCAATGAGTTAAAACCACAGCACAGCAGAACTTGTCTCCTCTGATCTGAGGAGATGAGTCCTTCAATTTCTGATGGCCTCTAGTTTGTTCTCAGTGTCCAAATTTATATTATTATATTAGTGCTGGTATCAGTGTAGGAGGACTGCTCTGAAAGTAATGCCCCTTTTTTTATTATGTTTGCCCATGATGTCAGAGGTGGATTTTGTTGTTGTGGCAGTGGAGGTTGAATGTTCCTGGCAATATTTCATTCCATGTTATTGCTGGGAGAAAGGTGGCAGACTGCCCCTCTGCTGCCACCATGGCATCTGCCGTGAATGTGTGTATAAAGGAAAGGTGTGGAATTGAATTCCACCATGCAGAAAAAATGGTGCCCATTGGCACTGACCAGTGCTTTCTGAATAGTTATGGAGGCTAAATAGTGGATGTGAGCACAGCAATGGGCTTCAGCAGTTTTCAACAGTGATGTGGAAGACTAGCCATATTTCAGATGGTCGTGCATGTTTTTAATAACAAGGCATGCAGGCTCTTGTTCATCACTGAGGAAAACTCACAGCTAATGATGGTGACTGTTTTGAAGTACAGTATTATCTTGGTGATATTTTATTCTATTAAACAGTGTTCTTCTGCTCTCCATATGAATTGTAGTTTCCATGGGGGGGGGAGGAGGGAATGGAGGCAGTACTTTCGGAGCAACCTTAGCATGCCCAGAAGATCTATGAATTGAATGGCAGAGGTATTAGGAGACAATATGGCAAAGGCTAGCTAATTCCTTAAAACCTGATTTGGCATTTCTACTGTGTTGTCTTTGGGCCCTTATGTCATGACAAGCAGAAGTTAAAACATGAAATCAGAATACAATTTTTCTTCTGTATTCCCTGCAGTTTGAAGAAAGATTTGTGGAAACAAAGGAAGATCTCCAAAAGTTAAGGACAGGTAAGTTTCCTTTAGTTTTTTAATAATTCCATAATAATGATGATTAGAATTTGTTTGTCCTAGATCACGAGAGTTAACTTTTGTTTCTTGGAAAACCTAGACTGGCTGGTACAGACAGACAGACACGTGCTATAGCAAGCATCACCTCGGGGTCCATCTGGCACAACTCCTGCTCAAGCAGGGATACCCAGAGTAGGTCCCCAGGACCACATCCAGGCAGCTTTTGAAGATCTCCAAGGAAGAGACTCCACAGACTCTGGGCAAACTCTGCCAGCACCCCATGACCCACACAGTAACTGTGGTTCCTGGTGGCACCTTTACGTGGCACCTTCTCTGTATCAGTATGAACCCATTGCCAGTTACCCCATGTCTGTACATTTTCTCCAGTCACATCATCATGAAATTCATTGATATTTTAGGCTGCCCACAAAGCTGTTGTTTGGTAATCTGTATGGAGCCAGAGTTCTAGATTTCTGAGTTTAACCTGCACAGGTGTGGTCCTGTTTTCCTTGCAGTGACTCACATTGCCCTTTATAGATTCCATTGCTGTGAGCATGGTTTCTCCAAACCAAATTACACATCTGTGGTCATTGCTTGTCTTTTCAGAGATATCTAACTCAGAGTGGCATTTGCCATCCTGATCTTCCTCAGGAAGGGATTTACCCAACTACAGTCTCATATCAAGTTGTATTTAGCTCTTGCACTAATCATGGGGAACACCAACCATTATTCAGCCAATGTAAAGTCAGTGTAGGAGTCACAAAGACATATGAATGTGTATATTAACTCTAAACATGAACATAAATATTAACAGTAGTCTAGGTTTCCAAACTATTTTCCCATTCTGCATAAGGAGATTGAGGAAAGCATGCCACAAATGAAAAACAACATTGGTTATTTCCCCGTGTCCCCATAGATGGTGTTCAGTCACAGACTGAGCTTCTTGTTGTCTTCTTCCCCAGATGGATACCTGCTGTTCCAGCAAGTGCCCATGGTGGAGATCGATGGGATGAAGTTGGTGCAGACCAGAGCCATCCTCAACTACATAGCAGGGAAATACAATCTCTACGGGAAAGACCTGAAGGAGAGAGCCCTGTACTGTACCAGTACTACCTTTGTTAGCTCGTAGCTGGTGCTGCTTTTCTGTGTGACACAGGAATATCTCTGCGTACATGTAACTCACAGGGAGTTTAGATTCAGGGAGTTTTCTTAGAGCGTGTGTTGACCGTGAGCGCAGGTGATGTGTACAATAGCAATAAATAGGTAGATAGGATAAGAAGAAAGGCAGCAGGGAGTTTCTGAAGATCAGAGATCAGTGCTTTATCAGGGGAGAAAAAAAAGCACTGGCATTCCATGGTTTAACCTGAAGATTGTTAATAGGCTATTCTGTACATTATTCAATAGAGGTCAGACATTCACTCAGGGAGGTGGTGGAGTCACTGTCCCTGGCAGTGTTCAAAAGGTGCATGGATGAGGAGCTTCGAGATATGGTTTAGTAGCTTGTGGTAGCATTGGGAATGGGAGGATGGTTGGACTAGATAATCTTGTAGGTCCTTTCCAGCCTTGTGATTCTATGATTTCAGGATATTTATTAGAAATTGTATAAACACATATGCTAATTCTTTAATTGGGTTTAAAAAGAATTACATGCTGAGAAGTATTATATATGAGAAGTATTACTCCTGTTGAAAAAAGAAGGAGCACAGCCTTTTACTGTTGGGTTCAAGCTAGTTTCTTTTGTGCTATTCAGATCTCCTATATTTGATTTGATCAACTGGATCTGTTCCTTTCAGAATTGACATGTATGTGGAAGCAATGGCAGATCTGTATGATACAATCATGAACCATGACTTCAAACCAGCTAATGAAAAGGAGAAAGATCTTGCAAATATTATGGACAAGGCCACAAACAGATACTTACCAGTCTTTGAGAAGGTACGTGGCAATGATTTAGTAGCTTAATTAATATTGTTTTCCTGAAACTTCATTCCTGGTCTACACAATCTTTTTATTCAGACTAAAGGAAAGGAAAAATTCCATGTAAATGCTTTGGCTGTGGTGGGAGTGAGATAAGGCTGGAGACAGAACAATTCAGAGGAGACAGAAGACACTGCAGATCTAGGAGACATGCAGAGCTGTAACAAGCCAGGACACACTGAGTTCCACAGATGTTCATGTTTCAGTCTGCATTTGTTTCAGAAAAAAGCCACAGTAGCACTGGGTTCTACCTGAAGCCTCCTCCTGAAGTACAGGACCCTCTGACCAAACATGCATTAGAAGCATTGCAGCACACATACAGAAGAAGGACTGCAGGTCCTTTTGCAATTGAAAAAGGAAAAAAAGGGAGATGGGTGAGCTGGAAGCAGGGTGTCAAGAAACTGAGGCACGGGCTACATGCAGAGAGCCCCAGTGCAATATTCCCCCAACTGAAGCAGAAACAGGTGAGAAATAAGGGAGCTACCCATCATTTGAAAGAGACCAAGATCTCCTACAATGGCCTGGGCTGAATTCGTGTCTCTTGCAAATGTTGTACAGTGCTGGTTGTGTTCCGTGATGTGTAGACCAACACAGAGTGAGGAAGTGCTCAATTACAGGGGCTACAGAATGGAAGGCATGAGGGCTAGTCCTCAGCTGCCAGGAAAAAGAGAAGAAAAGCTGTAGAAGGGAAAGGACCGATGTAGAATGGCTGTGATGACAGAGCAGTGATCTGCTTGCAGTACAGATGTTCTCATTACTTCTTGCTTCAGAGACAATTCCATGAAAAAATGACCTTGCTTTGAGTAACATTAAGTGGCATGCCTACATATCACACCTGCTTCTGTTCCCTGTTTCGTGTTTTTAGGTTTTGAAAGACCATGGGCATGACTTTCTTGTTGGCAACAAGATGAGCAGAGCGGATGTGAATTTACTAGAAACCATTTTAATGTTGGAAGAGTTCAAGGCTGATGCACTTGCAAAATTTCCTCTCTTGCAGGTAATTGCATAGACAGTTTTAAAGGAAATAAACCAAAGCAGAACACTGATTTAAACTGGTTGAGAAAATATGGGTTTGGGTGGCTAAGAAAAGTCAAATACCCTAAGTGGTACTGGCCAGCCTGAAATACTGATAGGTATGGTGTCACTTCAGCCACCAGGGTATTGAAATGTATAGTAGGTTGAAGTATAGATTCCTAAAATCCCATAATACCTTGAGTTTGAATAGAGTTACAAGAGCTCCTGATTCCAGCTCCTGGCTCCACAGAGGATCACCTGAAATTCAACCCATTGTCTGAAATCAAACACTCCTTGAATTCAGGCCCACTGCCCTGGGCTGCCTGTTCCATGCCCACTGCCCTCTGGTGAAGAAACATTTTTAATTCCCAGCCTGACCCTGGCTGGAGAGATTCCCCATGCCAATCCCTCAGGCCCTGCTGCTGTCACAGAGCAGAGCTCAGCACTGCAACTGCTACTTGTAGGGAGCTGCAGGGCCATGAAGTCCTCCTATCTCTTGCTCTCCAGATACTCTGCCATTTGTGTAGCCCCATGTGGACGCTGTAAGAGGTTTATGTCCTTCTTACATTGTGGCAGCCAAACCTGCACGCAGTGCTGGAGGTGAGGCCGCACAGAGCAGAGCAGGGCAACCCCTCCCCTCTACCAGAGGCAGTGCTGGGCCTGAGGCACTGCAGGGTGTGTTGGCCCTTTGGGCTGCAAGGCACACTGCTGGCTTTGTCCAACATGTCATCAACTTCATCATCAGCTGGAATTACAAATCCCTTTTCTTTGGGCTGCTCTACAGCCTCTCTACTCCCACTCTACATACCAATAATCCGATGTTGCCACATCTCAGGTGCAAAATCCAGCATTCATTCACTCATGTTAATCTCTGTAGTGGGTTACTACCAGCCTTCCAGTTTTTTGGGAGCTCTCTCTGCAAGGTCTCCCCATCTCTTGGAGTGTCAAGTGCTCCTTTAAATTCGGATCGTCCATAAACCTACTTAGGATGCGTCTGAGTTCTGCATTTGCATCATTTATAAACACTCTAAAGAGAAATGGCCCCAAAATGCAGCCACCAGGCTCATGTAACCCAATGTACTGTTACTCTGAGAGTTGCCACTGGTCTTAAGCGTAGTGCTGTTTTCTTTTTGTTTTGTAGAGTTTTAAAGCAAGAATGAGCAATATCCCCAGCATCAAGAAATTCCTGCAGCCTGGCAGCCCAAGGAAACCACCTCTACAGGAAAAAGACATACCAAACCTGCTAGCAATTTTCATTTGAGCAGCAGCCTAAGCACAGTGCAACTCCATTCCATTGTCTGTGGCATTCCTGAGAAGCAAAGTGAAATTAATGAAATTAGTTTCACAAGTTTTGTATGCATGTTGGCAGATGAAATGTTAACTCAGTTGTCTCAAATTTAACAAATTGCTTTAAATGCTTAAAGTTTTCCAGAAATAAAGTTGACATTTAAATGTTCGTTCAGTGACTCCTTGCTGCTACTGACTCATCCGAGGGCTCTCCTGTTCTCTCTTACTGGTGATTCCTAGCATTGCTGGAATACGTAGGAGCGTAGCCTGAACAGTGGACAACGTGCCTGTCCTGGAAAGAGCTTGGCAGAACCTGCAGGTTCTGGCCTAAGGGAGATGAACTGTTTGAATTCAGCTTTCCTCTGAACTGAGCTGTTCCTCGGCTTGGTGTACGTTGGGATCGTGGTTCTGCTGCACTTCTGTTTTGTCAGTAGCATTTCAGCCTCTTGTAGGGCCGCTTCTCCAATACCTCCTTTAGCAAACTCAGCTGTGGCTGCCGTGAGCACTGGATTGAAAGAGGAATGCTTGAGGCCAGCTGTAGAGTTGAGAAGCTGTTATGGCTGAGGAAGGAGGTGTCTGCCTGGCCTCAGGCAGTAGCAGGGCCCTGACACAGGTAGCTTTGCCTTGACTGCTGCCAGCTGATACTGAACTCAGTTTTGAGCTGTGTGTGACAGTCCCTGAAATCCAGCTGTACTGAGAGGCCAGCAAGGAAGCGGAGTACGTAACTCCGTGCTCAGCTCGTCACCCACGTGTGTAAACGCGGCAGCAGAAACCAGAAAGATGTGGATGTTGTAGCGCTGCCAGCGTGAAGCTGGGCCACCTCCAGGCCCTGAAACTCCTGCTAACGCCACCTGCTTTTAGCTAAGCCTCTTTCCAAGGGCTGCCCCGGCCCTGCGCTTTGGGTTTTTGGTGAGAGCCCTGTTGATTCCTCGCTGGCGCCGAGCTGACGGCAGAGCAGCGCTCCCACCGAGCCGAAGCCGTTTCAGCTTTTCATGCGCCCCGCCCCTCAGCACCCGGCAGCACGGAGCCTCCCGGGGCCGCCCACGTCCGGAACGGGACTCCGGGACGGGTCTGGAGCTGCGCGGCTGCAGCGGCGGTAGTGGCGGCGGGGAGGTGCGCTGGGCTCAGGCCGAGCTTTGGGGAGGCGGCCAGATCGGGTATCCGGCCGAGGGAGCAGTCCGCCAGGGCAGCGGCGCTGGGAGCGGAACCTACTGGGCTGGGGCCACGGGGACAGGGGCAGGGTGGTTTGTGACTCTCTTTGGGCCCAGCAGTGCTGCTCAGGAAAGGTGCACGTTTGCTACGCAGATGTGAGTCGATGCCTTCCAAGGAGGTGTGTTGCAGAGCGGTAACAGAATCCCTTCAGCACGGTGCCAGCACAGTAGGTGTTGAGCCCAAAGCCCAGAGCTGGTCCGTCAGCCGTGCCATTGCTGGAAGATCTCTGCTCTTCCTCTCGTGGCCCAGAGCTTCAGGCCTTGGCCGGTGTGTGAGGGAGCTGTGATGGACAAGTGCAGCCTGGTACAGGGGTTCTTTTGCTGACGCTGGCGAGCGTGGCTTTGGCTGGGTTGCTTTTTACCAGCTGTCCCTGTGCTTTGGGGAAGGTCAGGGAAGTTTTCTCTTTCTGCTTCGCTAGCCTGCCCTTGTAGTGCATTTCCCAGCCTGTAGGCACATGTTGGAGGTTGGAGTGCTCGTCCAGTGCTGATCCATGGTGTGAGGGCCCTGAGTGCAGCTCTGTCCTCAGGAGACCATCACCTATTTCTGGAGCACCATGGAATGAAGTAATTCTGAAAGAAATGCTGTTTGGGAGCACTACTTTTATTGGAGTAGTGCCAGGCATCCCCTTAGAGGAAAGAGAAATAGAGCATAGATCGTGGTCTTCTGTGTGTGCATGCAGTGTAGCCGTAACTTGGCACTTTCCTAAATACCTTATGGCTGTTGAGGTATTCGTTAGGCATCAAGCAGCTCTGGTCCGATTTGTCAACACTTTATCAAGTCCTTGTTATCAAGCACCTATTTATGTGAAAGGAGAACTTTGCTGAAGGAGACTGAAATGTCTGGGAATCCCCAGGGCAAGCTGTTAGCTGAGCAGAGGTTTGGAGCCCCTGTTGCTTGGGCAGAGTGCTGCAAAGCTTGGGCTCTTCCTCATAGAGCATGTTGAACATAGCACCCAACATAATGAGCTTCCGAGGACTTGGGTGTTTGTGTACTCAAAGTCAGACCGTTTATTGCCAAGAAGACACAAACTGTAACTGCAAGCTAAGCAGCAGAGAGAAAGGGAGCAAGCTAGAGAGAAGAAAATCTGAAAGCAGGCAATGTGCTGCTGAGGAGAGAGTGGTGATGTGAATGTGCAGAGAGAGCTTTAAAGGCAACAGTGAGCAGGTAACTCCCTGGAGCTATGTTACTGATAACTGCAGGGCTATGTTGTGTAAACTTATCCTTGAGTGTAAAAGATTGCTTGGTTAATACCTACCCAGCCGGATTATGAGGGTGGAAGTCATGAGAAATGTGTTGTGGGATTGAATGTGTGAGTTGGGTTTTAGGTGTGGTGAACACATGGAGTGACAGTTCAGAAAATCCAAGAAGTACCCAGTTGGTTTGAATGATACAGAACACCAGATGTGTGCTTTGTGTCTGCAACAAGGCAGGGCCGGGCATAGCCCTGCAGGTCTCCTTGGTCACAGCTGAAGCTCCCTTCCCTACGTTTCCTCCTCCTCCTCTGAATACAGTAACACAGTGCAGTTTGTGCATGCACCAGTTTCCCTTACATTTTAAAGACTGGCTTGGATTTTTGAACATAGCTCCAGCCCAAGCCAAAGGAATTCTGACACATTTTATGGGAGAGGAAAATTGACAAGGTTTGATGATGCAAAACATTCTTCGCTTGCTCAGGAGATCAGTATTGTATGTGAGAAACCAATCTGAAGAGAGAAGTACTTAAAAATCAGATGCCTTCACACATGACAGATTTTGACTTTTTGAGTTGAAGCTGAGAAAACCGTCAAAGTAAATTGACATGATGAAGAGTTTTGTCAAGCAGGTATTCCCTTTCTTACAGGGCTGAGTGCATGGGGGATCGCTCCCACCAAACATGCACACCAAGAGAAGCAGCAAGTACGTATTTAAAGGTGTAATTTATGCATTCTTTCATTACATTCTAAGGACAAGGGCAGAAATAACATCTCTAGTGGTCGTGGGATGTATTCTTGCTGTAAATTTCCAACCTCTTAGTGAAGGTAGCCCAAATGAGTTCCCACTGATGTTACACTGGGCAGAAGCATCTGTTTTGCCATCTTATCTTCAACAACAAGACATCTATTCTACAGTCTTATCTTCAATTGACAACATGCTCCACGGCCTCCTCTGCACTCTGTTCTTGAGCTTACATTTATGCAAGCCTCCGTCCATCAGTTTCTATCTACTCAGGCTATGAGGATGGCTGTTCTCACAATATGGAAAAGCTGTTCTCATGATCCAGAGTGCAAACTGCTGACTTTGTTTTGGGTATTGGCTGTGGCTCCAGTGTTTGATGAAGGTTTCCTCCTACCCGTATTTAGGTCTACTGAAAGGAGAGCAGCAGGAAATCTGTGCTGTCCATCACCATCTGTGAGGAGCACAAGAAGGAGCAAGCCCTGTCCTGTAACAGCTCAATTCTTTAACTACAGCTCATTCTCCCTCTCTGTAATAGCAGAATAATGTCCTGGCCCACATTCAAGCCTGGGTGATTCAGCACTTTTTCACAGAGCACACTGACCTTGGGTGCATGTGTTGCAAAGAGATTAAACAGGAAATTAAACAGGAGGTTGGTTGGGGGCAAAGGAGATCATAAGATTCTAAACTCTTTGGTATCAACACAGTTATCAAATAAAACGGATCTCCTGATAGCAATGTCTGTTCACCACCTCCTACTCTCATTAGCAGCGATCATTTTCCCCAGGTTAAATCCAGGGTAGTTCTTTGTCAGAAAGAAAAAAAACACTTCTGTTTTCAAAAATGAGGTTCTTCAGATGACAATGTCCTAAAGGAACATCCCCTACCTCTAAAGGAAGGGAAGGAACCTGACAAAGGATTCCAGCTGAAATTATTGTTCTAACGTGTATAAAGAGATACAAAACTATGAAATGTTTTAATTAAAATTGGATTAGTATCATGCTATTTTTTTCTTCAACTATGGAAGGTTTTTGGCAGCTGTGACTTTTGTTAAGTAGCAAGTTGCCACACTGTGAGAATGTGAAGTATAAAGTTTGTTTCTGTCACGCTTTTCCAACACAATGGTGACCTCTCACAAGTATTACACATGTGCACCGTCAGCATTAGTGATGAATTCTGTTGTAGGTAATAAGTGCTTAAAGCTAAATGTTTTAACTAAGAAACAGTGTTACCCAACAGCAGAGTTGTGTCTGCGATTTCCTGTGTAGGAGGGGCTAAAAGCTCCATAACCTCAGGACAAAGCTGCTGAGAGTTCAGAGCGAGTTCCAGTCTGTGCAAGGTAAGCTTTTTGGCTTTTGGATATGCAAGGAGAATTTGTGTATTTGAATGCTACAGTCTGTGGATGGATTTTGTGAATTTAATACCTTCAGATGCATTCTTTGTTAACATGGTTTTGTGCATCAGATGATTAATTAATAATTAACTGCTTTGTATGCACTCAGTTTGAAGAGAGATCAGCTTAGATCTCAGAAGTGTGAAGTGGTTCCTGTTTTAGAGACAATGGCATGCTGTTTACAGGGGGGATATGTTTTGTTGTAGCCATTTGCTTTTTGCTGCAGTTCATACTTCAGCTTGTTTGTTGACTTGTTTTTCATAACTGTGACATGAATATAAAGTGGGTGTTGACTACACTGTTGCTGTGTTTGTTGTGCACTGGTTTTTAAAGGTGCAGATGCCAGGGAGTCAAGCATAAACTGCAAAGGTTCATGTAAGGAATGTCCTGCTTGACCAACCTGCTCTCTTTCTATGACCAAGTGACATGCCAAGAGGATGAGGGAAAGTCTGTGAATATGGTTTACCTGGACTTTAGTGAAGGCTTTGAACCTGTCTTTCTGTACTCCTGGTGAAGCTGACAACCCATTGCTTGGATGTGCATAAACACCATGCTGGGAAAAAAGTGGCTGGGTGCCCAGGCCCAGAAAGTGCTGCTGAATGGAGTTAAATAAATGCAATGTTCAGACATGGGCCCCTCCCTGTAACAAACACACTGAGTCCCTGGAGCACATCCAGATAATTCCAGTGAAACTGTGGCGGGGGTGGAGCACAAGTGTTATGAGGAGCAGCAGAGGGAACTGGGGTTGTGTGGTCTGGAGCAGAGGAGGCTCAGGGGAGACCTTATTGCCTTGAACAGCAAAGGAGGTTGTTGCGTGGTGGGGGTCGGCCTCTTCTCCACGGTAATAATTGACAGGGCGAGGTGCTGGCCTCAAGTTGCACCAGAGGAGTTTCAGGTTAGGAAAGCAGGTTCGGATATTAGGAAAACAATTTATTCTCAGCCATAACAGTGAGGTATTAGAACAGGCTGCCCAGGGAAGAGGTGCACTCACAGTCCCTGCAGGTGTTCAAGAAAAGCACAGATGTAGCACTGAGGGACGTGGTTAGAGGGTGTTTGGGGAACTGCTGAGTCACAGCCTGAACCTCTGATTGATCACCTGAGGTGAGCCATGAGTCAGCCTTGGGAGCAAGGTGAAGGCAACTCACCTGTGCTGCAGGAAGGGATGGAGCCTGGCTCCAGCTCTTGTAGATGCATTTAAGAGCTGGCTACCGGGGGGAAGGATCTCCTCTGGAGATCCAGCTTCCTTGGTGTTTTATAGGTGAGCCCAGGATACGGGTAAGCTTTCTATCTCTTCTCTTTTTGGTATTATAATCTGTTTTGCCTAACTCTCTTGTTTATTTTGTAGTTATAACCTCTTAAAATTGATTATACAGAGGGCATGGTGGGGATGGCTGCGTGGTTGGAGAAGACAATCTTAAAGGTCTTTTCTAACTCTAATGGTTCTATGATTTTATTCTATGAATGTGAACGAGGATAGAGGGGTAAATTCTTCCTATCACTTTATAGTGGACCGTAAACTCTAGCAGAGAAACTGTAGTAATTACTGAGTTTATGCAGATCTTCAGACTGAGCAGAACGCTTTGGGCTGGAAGCAATCTTTGCTTTGCAAGTTCTCTGGTATGGGCCACTTGCTGTCAGCACACAGTTGTCCTTAACTAAACTGCTTGTGTGAAATACAGTACTGCTTTCCAATGTGTTCTCACTCTTGTCTCCTCTGCTGATTTGATGAGAGTCCTGCGTTATCACTCATTGGTTTAAAAGAAGATAACTTTGAGCAGTGCTTGAGAACCAGTTGGAGATTGATGAACAGATTCTGATCCTGCTTGATTTGTGATAGTTCTTTATTCTAGACAGAAGGAAATCAGATACTTGGAAGCATGTCTGGGAAGCCAGTTCTGCACTATGCTAATATACGAGGCCGAATGGAACCAATAAGGTGGCTGCTAGCGGCTGCTGGAGTTGAGGTTTGTATATGGTTGTTATACTAAGAACACATGACAAACACAAGCACTCGTTTATAGTGTTCTTTATTAATAATGGGACATACGCGCAGTTTCAGATTCTCCATTTAATGCATTGCACAACCAGAACCAAGCCTGTGATGCCACAGTGCCTGTTTCTCTTCCAAGCACTGTGTGTCAGTCCCACTGTTAGCATTATACATCCATGTCCCTGGTGAGAAGTGAAAGAAATGAGTTAAAACCACAGCACAGCAGAACTTGTCTCCTCTGATCTGAGGAGATGAGTCCTTCAATTTCTGATGGCCTCTAGTTTGCTCTCAGTGTCCAAATTAGCTTATATTTATATTAGTGCTGGTATCAGTGTAGGAGGACTGCTCTGAAAGTAATGCCCCTTTTTTTATTATGTTTGCCCATGATGTCAGAGGTGGATTTTGTTGTTGTGGCAGTGGAGGTTGAATGTTCCTGGCAATATTTCATTCCATGTTATTGCTGGGAGAAAGGTGGCAGCAGAGGGGCAGTCTGCCTCCATGGCATCTGCCGTGAATGTGTGTATAAAGGAAAGGTGTGGAATTGAATTCCCCCATGCAGAAAAAATGGCACCCACTGACACTGACCAGTGCTTTCTGAATAGTTATGGAGGCTAAATAGTGGATGTGAGCACAGCAATGAGCTTCAGCGGGGAGAGGGATGGAGAGACAATATGGCAAAGGCAAACTAATTCTTTAAAACATGGATTGGCGTTTTTAAAACAAAATTTCCGTCAGCATTGTGTTTTGGGCCCTTGTGTCACAACAAGCAAAAGTTAAAACGTGCAGTCAGAGAACAGTTTTTCTTCCATATTCCCTACAGTTTGAAGAACGAATTATGAAATCAAAGGATGATTTCCAAAAGTTAAGGACAGGTAAGTTTCCCTTGGTTTTCAATAATAATAATGAATAGAATTGTTTGTCCTAGAACGTGAGAGGAATTTAATTTCTCTTGAGAAGAAAGCCTAGAATAGCTTGTATGGAGTCACGTACTCATAGAATCATTGGAGCTGGATGGGACATTTGAAGGCCATCTAGTCCATCTCCCCTGCAGTGAACTGTGAGATACAGTAATCATCACCCTGGGGTCCATTTGGCATGACTCCTGCTCAAGCAGGGACACCCAGAGTGGGTCCCCACGACCACATCCAGAAAGCTTTTGAAGATCTCCAAGGAAGAGACTATATAGCCTCTGGGCAACCTTTGCCAGCGCTCCATCACCTACACCTGCTGGCACCTTCCTTGCATTAGTGTAAGTCCATTGTCAGTTGCTCATCTTGCTCTCCATAGATTCCATTGCTGTGAGTCTGGTTACTCACATTTCCTCCAAACCAGATTACACATCTGTGGTCATTGCTTGTCTTTTCAGAGATATCTAACTCAGAGTGGCATTTGCCATCCTGATCTTCCTCAGGAAGGGATTTACCCAACTACAGTCTCATATCAAGTTGTATTTAGCTCTTGCACTAATCATGGGGAATACCAACCATTATTCAGCCAATGTAAAGTCAGTGTAGGAGTCACAAAGACATATGAATGTGTATATTAACTCTAAACATGAACATAAATATTAACAGTAGTCTAGGTTTCCAAACTATTTTCCCATTCTGCATAAGGAGATTGAGGAAGCATGCCACAAATGAAAAACAACGTTGGTTATTTCCTCGTGTCCCCATAGATGGTGCTCAGTCACAGACTGAGCTTCTTGTTGTCTTCTTCCCCAGATGGATACCTGCTGTTCCAGCAAGTGCCCATGGTGGAGATCGATGGGATGAAGTTGGTGCAGACCAGAGCCATCCTCAACTACATAGCAGGGAAATACAATCTCTACGGGAAAGACCTGAAGGAGAGAGCCCTGTACTGTACCAGTACTACCTTTGTTAGCTCGTAGCTGGTGCTGCTTTTCTGTGTGACACAAGAATATCTCTGCGTACATGTAACTCACAGGGAGTTTAGATTCAGGGAGTTTTCTTAGAGCGTGTGTTGACCGTGAGCGCAGGTGATGTGTACAATAGCAATAAATAGGTAGATAGGATAAGAAGAAAGGCAGCAGGGAGTTTCTGAAGATCAGAGATCAGTGCTTTATCAGGGGAGAAAAAAAAGCACTGGCATTCCATGGTTTAATCTCAAGAATGTTCAAATAGGTTATTCAGTAGATGTCAAACATTTCAATATATTTGTTAGGAATTGTGTAAATCTAATGTTAAATTGAACATACCTGATGAGAGATTTAGAGTGGATTTGGATGCACATATGCCAATTCTGTATTTGGGTTTGAAAAATTTTTAATGCACAGAAGTGTCTGCCCTGGTGAAAAAAGATGGAGCACAGCCTTTTACTGATGGGTTTAAGCTTGTTCCTGTTGTGCTATTCAGAACTCCTATTTTTGACTTGACCAACTGGATCTGTTCCTTTCAGAATTGACATGTATGCGGAAGGATTGGCAGATCTATTTGAGTTAATCATGTACCACGAATTCAAACCAGCTAATGAAAAGGAGAAAGATCTTGCAAATATTATGGACAAGGCCACAAACAGATATTTACCAGTCTTTGAGAAGGTACGTGGCAATGGTTTAGTAGCTTAATTAATATTGTTTTCCTGAAACTTCATTCCTGGTCTACACAATCTTTTTATTCAGACTAAAGGAAAGGAAAAATTCCATGTAAATGCTTTGGCTGTGGTGGGAGTGAGATAAGGCTGGAGACAGAACAACTCAGAGGAGACAGAAGACACTGCAGATCTAGGAGACATGCAGAGCTGTAACAAGCCAGGACACACTGAGTTCCACAGATGTCCATGCTTCAGTCTGCATTTGTTTCAGAACAAAGCCACAGTAGCACTGGGTTCTACCTGAAGCCTCCTCCTGAAGTACAGGACCCTCTGACCAAACGTGCATTAGAAGCATTGCAGCACAAATACAGAAGGATTGCAGGTCCTTTTGTAATTGAAAAAGGAAAAAAAGGGAGATGGGTGAGCTGGAAGCAGGATGTCAAGAAACTGAGGCACGGGCTACATGCAGAGAGCCCCAGTGCAATATTCCCCCAACTGAAGCAGAAACAGGTGAGAAATAAGGGAGCTACCCATCATTTGAAAGAGACCAAGATCTCCTACAATGGCCTGGGCTGAATTCGTGTCTCTTGCAAATGTTGTACAGTGCTGGTTGTGTTCCATGATGTGTAGACCAACACTGAGTGAGGAAGTGCTCAATTACAGGGGCTACAGAACTGAAGGCAAGAGGGCTAGTCCTCAGCTGCCAGGAAAAAGAGAAGAAAAGCTGTAGAAGGGAAAGGACCGATGTAGAATGGCTGTGATGACAGAGTGGTGATCTGCTTGCAGTACAGATGTTCTCATTACTTCTTCTTGCTTCAGGGACAATTCCATGAGAGAAAGACTTGAAGTAACATTAAGTGGCATGCCTACATATCACACCTGCTTCTGTTCCATGTTTTTAGGTTTTGAAAGACCATGGGCATGACTTTCTTGTTGGCAACAAGATGAGCAAAGCAGATGTGAGTTTACTGGAAGACATTTTGTGGTTGGAAGAGTTGAAGCCTGATGCACTTGCAAAATTTCCTCTCTTGCAGGTAATTGCATAGACAGTTTTAAAGGAATTAAACCAAAGCTGAGCCACTGATTTAAACTGGTTGAGAAAATATGGAGGGGGGATGGAAAGGAGTGTGTAATTAAAAGCAAATACTCTGAGTGGTACTGGCCAGCCTGAAATACTGATAGTTATGGTGGTTTTCTGTGTGCTCAGCCACCAGGGTATTGAAATGTATAGTAGGTTGAAGCATAGATTCCTAAATTCCCATAATACTTTGAGTTGGAAGAGAATCAACAGGACCACTGATTGTAGCTTTTGGCTCCACAGGGGACCGCCCTAAATTCAAATTCTGTGTTTGAGAGCATTTTCCAAATGCCCCTTCAATGCTTCCTCCCCCTTTCCTCTTCCCTGGCGAGACCACCTCTGAAATAGGTGTCCAATTTTGGGCCCCTCAGTTCAAGAAGGACAAGGAACTCCTTGAGAGATTCCAGAACAAGGCCACAAAGATGAATAGGGAAGTGGAGCATCTCCCTTGTAGGATAGTTCTGAGGGTGCTGTGTCTTTCTTGCTTGTTGAAATCTGAGGGGTGACATCATTAATGCTTATAAATATGTAAAGGTTGAGTGTCAGGAGGATGGAGCTCAGTGACATACAGTTGTAGGACAAGGGGCACTGGTTACAAGCCATAACATAGGGGATTCCACATAAATTTGAGAAAAAACTTCTTCCCAGTAAGAGTAACTGAACAGTGGAACCGGCTGCCCAGAGAGGTTGTGGGGTCTCTTTCACTGGAGACATTCAAAACTGACCTGGATGTGTTCCTGTGTGACCTAATCTAAGTGATCCTACTCTGGCAGAGGGATTGGACAAGGTGGTTTTTCGAGGCCCCTTCAAATTCCTGTGATTCTGGCAGCTTCAGACCATGCCCACTGCCCTCTGGTGAAGAAACATTTTTAATTCCCAGCCTGACCCTGGCTGGAGAGATTCCCCATGCCATTCCCTCAGGCCCTGCTGCTGTCACAGAGCTGAGCTCGGCACTGCGACTGCTACTTGTAGGGGGCTGCAGCTGCCGTGAAGTCTCCTCTCAGCTCCTCTGCTCAGGGCTGAACGCATGAAGGGACCTCGTCTACTCCTTCTATCTCTTGCCCTCCAGCCACTTTGCCATTTGTGTAGCCCCACGTGGACATAGTAACAGCTTTATGTCCTTACATTGTGGCAGCCAAACCTGCACGCAGTGCTGGAGGTGAGGCCGCACAGAGCAGAGCAGGGCAACCCCTCCCCTCTACCAGAGGCAGCGCTGGGCCTGAGGCACTGCAGGGTGCGTTGGCCCTTTGGGCTGCCAGGCACACTGCTGGCTTTGTCCAACTCGTCATCAACCAGAACCCCAGCTTCCTTTCATTGAGGTGGCTTTCCAGCCTCTCTCCATACATACATTAAAGGTTGCTGCATTCCAGGTGCAGAATCCAGCATTCATTTACTCATCTTAAATTTAATGTGGTGGTGACTGCCAGCTTTCTAGCTTTTTGGGAGCTCTCTCTGCAAGATCTTCCCCCCTCTAAGAGAGTCAGCAGCTCCTCTTAAATTAGAGTTGTCTTCAAACATGCTTTGGATGCTATTGAGTTCTGCATCAGCATCAATTATAAACACTCTAAAGAGAAATGGCCCCAAAATGCAGCCACAAGGAGCCAGCCACCAGGCTCATGTAACCCAATGTACTGTTACTCTGAGAGTTGCCACTGGTCTTAAGCATAGTGCTGTTTTCTTTTTGTTTTGTAGAGTTTTAAAGCAAGAATGAGCAATATCCCCAGCATCAAGAAATTCCTGCAGCCTGGCAGTGCAAAAAAATCACTGATTCAGGAAAAAGACATACCAACTGTGCTAGCAGTTTTCCACTGAACAGCAGCCTAAGAGCAATGCAACTCCATTCCATTGTCTGTGGCATTCCTGAGAAGCAAAGTGAAATTAATGAAATTAGTTTCACAAGTTTTGTATGCACGTTGGCAGATGAATATTAACTCAGTTGTCTCAAATTTAACAAATTGCTTTAAATGCTTAAAGTTTTCCAGAAATAAAGTTGACATTTAAATGTTCGTTCAGTGACTCCTTGCTGCTACTGACTCATCCGAGGGCTCTCCTGTTCTCTCTTACTGGTGATTCCTAGCATTGCTGGAATACGTAGGAGCGTAGCCTGAACAGTGGACAACGTGCCTGTCCTGGAAAGAGCTTGGCAGAACCTGCAGGTTCTGGCCTAAGGGAGATGAACTGTTTGAATTCAGCTTTCCTCTGAACTGAGCTGTTCCTCGGCTTGGTGTACGTTGGGATCGTGGTTCTGCTGCACTTCTGTTTTGTCAGTAGCATTTCAGCCTCTTGTAGGGCCGCTTCTCCAATACCTCCTTTAGCAAACTCAGCTGTGGCTGCCGTGAGCACTGGATTGAAAGAGGAATGCTTGAGGCCAGCTGTAGAGTTGAGAAGCTGTTATGGCTGAGGAAGGAGGTGTCTGCCTGGCCTCAGGCAGTAGCAGGGCCCTGACACAGGTAGCTTTGCCTTGACTGCTGCCAGCTGATACTGAACTCAGTTTTGAGCTGTGTGTGACAGTCCCTGAAATCCAGCTGTACTGAGAGGCCAGCAAGGAAGCGGAGTACGTAACTCCGTGCTCAGCTCGTCACCCACGTGTGTAAACGCGGCAGCAGAAACCAGAAAGATGTGGATGTTGTAGCGCTGCCAGCGTGAAGCTGGGCCACCTCCAGGCCCTGAAACTCCTGCTAACGCCACCTGCTTTTAGCTAAGCCTCTTTCCAAGGGCTGCCCCGGCCCTGCGCTTTGGGTTTTTGGTGAGAGCCCTGTTGATTCCTCGCTGGCGCCGAGCAGCGCTCCCACCGAGCCGAAGCCGTTTCAGCTTCTTACGGGAAGCCTCGTCCCCCTTTGCGCGCTCGGGCCCTCAGCGGCGCAGCTCCGCCCCTCAGCGCCCGGCAGCGCGCAGCACCGGGGCCGCCCACCGCCGACACGGGACTCCGGGGGCGAGCCGGAAGCTGCGCGGCGGCGGAGGCGGAGGGGCGGCGGTCAGCTGCAGTGGAGGTACTGGGGGTGGGGTGGCGCGCTGGGCTGGGACCGAACCGAGGGGTGGCGGCCGGTGCGGGGGTTCCGAGTGGCTCATGGAAGACGGGAGAGGGAGGTGCTGCCGGATGTGGTCCTGTGGCGGGCTGGCATGGGGCCGGGGCTGGCTCTGGTGGGATCGGCCGAGAGCCCGGAGCCCAGAGGCTGTGCTCGGCTTAGCCTTACGATAGCGGGCTGCGATGTGCCTTTGTCCTCTTCCAGGCGCCTTTTCCAGCTCTGGCGGTGGAAGGAATAGATCGTGGATCAGAACTTTTAGCTCGAATTGCAGTGGAAACAGCCCTCTGGTAAGCAGTCGCAGTCACAAGGCCGTGCTGGCTGCGGCAGGGTCTGTGATCTGAGGTCCTTCTGCCTGAGCAGCCCGTAGGAATGTGTGCGGGAGCAGAGCATCGCCCCGGGCTGCGTGCGGCGAGGGCAGCGTTTAAGTACGGGCGGCGGACTGAGTACGGGCTCGGAAGTTTGCTTCTGTGCTTCTTCCAGGAAGGCCGCTAACAGGATTGTTTTGAACAAAACACACACACACAGAGAAAGAACCGAGAAGACAGTGCTCACAGCTGTAGCAGTCGCTGTGGTGTGGCTTGGGCCACTCGGAGGCCCATGGCAGCAGATGTGGGTGGTTTGTGACTCTCTTTGGGCCCAGCAGTGCTGCTCAGGAAAGGTGCACGTTTGCTACGCAGATGTGAGTCGATGCCTTCCAAGGAGGTGTGTTGCAGAGCGGTAACAGAATCCCTTCAGCACGGTGCCAGCACAGTAGGTGTTGAGCCCAAAGCCCAGAGCTGGTCCGTCAGCCGTGCCATTGCTGGAAGATCTCTGCTCTTCCTCTCGTGGCCCAGAGCTTCAGGCCTTGGCCGGTGTGTGAGGGAGCTGTGATGGACAAGTGCAGCCTGGTACAGGGGTTCTTTTGCTGACGCTGGCGAGCGTGGCTTTGGCTGGGTTGCTTTTTACCAGCTGTCCCTGTGCTTTGGGGAAGGTCAGGGAAGTTTTCTCTTTCTGCTTCGCTAGCCTGCCCTTGTAGTGCATTTCCCAGCCTGTACGCACATGTTGGAGGTTGGAGTGCTCGTCCAGTGCTGATCCATGGTGTGAGGGCCCTGAGTGCAGCTCTGTCCTCAGGAGACCATCACCTATTTCTGGAGCACCATGGAATGAAGTAATTCTGAAAGGAATGCTGTTTGGGAGCACTACTTTTATTGGAGTAGTGCACGTCACCCCCTAGAGGAAAGAGAAATAGTGTGTATTGAGTTATACTATCATTAAGGTTGGGAAAGTCCTCTTAAGATTGTCTGGTCTAATAGTCCCGTCACCTCTAAGTCCACTAAATCATGACCCTCAGTGCCACATCTATGCTTTTCTTGCAAAGCTCCAGGAATAGTGACTGCATCCGTTCCCTGGTCAGCCTGTTCCAATGCATCACTAACTTGTTCTAGAAGAAATGTTTCCTTATATCCAGTATCCTGAACGTCCTTGGTGCAGCTTGGGGCCATTACCTCACATCCTATTGCTGTTACTTGGGAGAAGAGGCCAACCCCCACCTCACCACAGCCTCCTTTCAGAGACTGGTAGAGAGCGATAACGACTCCTGTGAGCCTCCTCTTCCTCAGGGTAAATGTCCCCAGTTCCTTCAGCCACTTCTCCTAGGATTTGTGGAGCAGACCCTCCTCCATCTTCTTTGCTCTTCTCTGGACAAGCTCCAGGGCTTGATTGTCCTTCTCCTTGAATGAGAGGCTCTCTAGTCCTCCCTATCAATTCCCTCCAATCAACTCCCTAGTCCAGATAGCAACACTGTTTCTGATGCAAGCCTGGTCTTGACTATCAAGGCACACTCTCTGCTGGCTCTTGTTCAGCCGATTGTCAGCTAAAGCCCCAGCTCCTTTGTGCAGCTTTCCAGTCCCTCTGCCCCAAGCCTGTGGCATTACATGGGGAGTGCAAGCACAGGACTTGTCACTTGGTCTTGTTGGAGCTCATGCAATTGAACTGAGCACATTGATCCAGCTTATCCTGATGCCTCCGTAGGGTCTTCTTACCTCAAGGTTTATCAGCATTTCCTCTCAACTTGTCATCTGCAAACTCAATGAGAACATGCTCAATCCCCTCATGGCTATGAGTAAAGACACTAAACAGGGCCGGCCCCATTTCTGACTCGTGGAGAACACCCCTTGAGATGGTCACCAGCTGGATTTGACTCAATTCAGCACCGCTCTCTGGGCCTGCCCAGCAAAGAGTACACCTGTCCAAGCCATGGGCTGTCAAGTTTTCTGGAGAATTCTGTGAAATTCAGTGATGTATATCATGATCTGTGTGTAGGCGAGATAGCTGTAACAAGGCATTTCCCTAAATGCCTTGTTGATATTTGAGTATTAGTTAGGCACCAAATGGCTCTAGGCTGTTTACCTCTCTAAACTGTCAAGTCTTAACCAAGGCTTTGTTATCAAATGCATATTTATTAGAACTTTGGTGGAAGAGACTGAGGTATTTGGAAATACAAACAATAAAAGGCTAGGTGTCAGCTGAGCAGAAGTTTGGAAGACCTGTAGTTTGGGCTGGAGCACTATGGTTCTCCTGCAAAGCAATGGCTGTTGCTTAATAGAGCATGTTGAAGATAGTGCCATCATAAAGAACTTCAGTGGAGAAGCTTGGATGTGCAGTTTCTACTCTCACTGTTATGCTGTTCATTTCTGCATTTTCACTGGTGCCTTTGAGATTATGGCCAAAGGTGTATTTTGTGGCTTAATTGAATGCTGTAAAGCCTATGCAAGAGTAAATAAAACGTGACTGTAGAAAACAGATAAAACCTTGGCTTGATGATGAAACATTCTATCAGATGATGAAACACGGCTATCAGTCTGTGAGTTCGTTCTCTTACTAAATCTGCTGGGACTTTTGGGACTCATTAGTGAGAAGAGTCCAGTGTTAACTTTGTTTCCAGCAGCAGTCAAGCTTACTTCAGCTGCCAGGTCTGTAACATGGTACGTGACTGCACCTGGTGGTAGTGAAACTTTGAAAGGACCAAGTTCAATCCCTGAGCCGTTATCTGCTGGTCTGACTTCAGTTGCTGATGCTAGGAGCATTGTCCAGGCCTTATCTATCCAGTGGTGAGGTAATCATGATTGCATTTGTTTGGCATGATTCTTTGTGTTCTCAGAGTCAATAAGATACGCATACCTGTTACAGTTTAATTGTTCATAAAATTGAAATGGATCTTGAAGTCAGTTCTTATGCTGTATAATGTATGATGTGGTTCAGCTAGTGCTCAGAACAAACTTCATAACGAGAGAGCTAAAAATAATGCTGGTGTCTTGGGCTTGCAATTGTTACAAAGTGGCCAGTTTTATGTAGTATGTTTTCTAGAGTGGTGTGACTTAAATGCTGTCACAAAACCCAACACCCACTGCAAAGATTGCATTACTGAATTTGGTAATAATTCTGTGTTGAACTGATTCATGTTCTCAATTTTTTCTCCCCACTAAATCCCCAGGAGCTGTGGTTGTGTCAAACCCAAAGTACTTAGGTCTTGACTGTCCTTTTACTTTAATGTTCATCCAGATGTATTTAATAGTTTGGAACAGAACATTTTATGTATTTCTTTTTTGTTCTTTGTTTGTTTTTTAAAGCTTTCTTTAAGATATCTCCTTGAATTTCTTAGGAAAGAAGAGCTCTGAAATCATGGCAGGGAAACCTAAGCTTCACTATACCAGAGGAAGAGGGAAGATGGAGTCAATCCGCTGGCTGCTAGCAGCAGCTGGGGTTGAAGTTCGTACCTTATTTTTTTTCTTATTTTATAAAGTGATAAGATTAATTTCTGTTTGAAATAAGGGTTTGGTTTCGGAAAGGTTTTCCAAGTACTTCTATATTTAGAGATAGGTACAATATCACCTGTTGTGCTGCAGATTGCTTACATGCAGTAACACACTCTCTTGCATTTTATTTAAGGTATTCTTTTAATATGCAAAAAGAATCATTAATTCGTTCATTTTTGAAACATACATGTTGTGGAGATCTTAAATTTTTGCTACAGACCAGAACAGTTTGAATTTCCTGTATCTTCAGTGTGAAACTTCAGAACAGAATCTGCAAAAAACGTGGTTTTTGTTCATTGGTCAGGACCTAAGATTAATCAGCAAAGCTGCACTGAAGCCAATGAGGAGCTATCTAGATTCACACCAGGTGAAAGCTGTCCAAAGGCATCTTAATTTCTGTTCACTCTTTGCTTGAATGCAATGCTTTGAAACTATTTTCTTAGGCACTGTGTTGCTCTGGAGAGAAAAGGCTTTTTTAGTGGTGCACATTCAATTTGAGTATTGCTGACAGAGGAGCTGCAGAGCACAAGTGCTCTCATTCAAATGTCTTTTTCATTTAGAAAACAGACAAAAATCAAAAATCCAGAGCCCCTGGAGTTGGACTCAGTGATCCATGTAGATCCATTCTAGTTCACAATATTCTATGACTCAGTTACATCTATAAGAAAAAGAGAGGCATAAAATGTGTAACAGGAACAGGCATAACATATTAAAAACTTCTAAATATTTCACATGGTGTGAGCTGCTTTTCAGTGAATGATTCATTATCTGTGAATTGTGCATGCAAGTGAGCAGAGCTTTATGATGGAAGAAGATTTTTTAAAGGGATAGCACTGTGCATTTACTGATGGGTTGGGATGGTGTAGCACAGGGTTATTTGCCTACACAGTGATGAGAAGTATGAGAAATAGTAGGGAGAGGTGGAGTCTGGCTTCCGGACTCCTTTCTGTTTTCCCATTAACTTTGGAGTGTCACAGTGTTGTTTTCTGTCTTTACTTTTCAGTTTGAGGAAGAATTTATAGAAAAAAAAGAAGACCTAGAAAAATTACGCAACGGTGAGTCTGCAGACCAGTGAGTTCACATCAACAGAACAAAAGGAGTGCTTCTGACTTTTATCAGTGAGAGATGAGATTTCTGTAAGATCTCGGATACAATGTGACTTGTAAAGAGATTTGAGAGAGCGGGTTGCCATGTTAAAGCTTTAGATCACTCAGCATTAGAAATATCATGACATGTTATGAAGTCTGTTCCTTAGAATCAGTGGTACTACATTGCTTGAATAGCTTGCTTTTTTTCTTCCCCAGATGGATCCCTGCTGTTCCAGCAAGTGCCCATGGTGGAAATCGATGGGATGAAGATGGTGCAGACCAGAGCCATCCTCAACTACATAGCAGGGAAATACAATCTCCATGGGAAAGACCTGAAGGAGAGAGCCTGGTACAGTAGCACTACATACTGTCCTTATACTTTTTCAATGTTTTTAGTGTATGTGAGAAGAATATTGCTCTGAGGTGACTGTGTGCAAAGCCGCACGTAACGTACTTGTGCTTTGTCCCCTCGCACCCAAAGGCAGCTCGAACAGACTTTGACACTAAGAGATTCGCAGTGTTAGATATCAATATCATTAGAATTTCCTGGCCACATTCAGGCTTATCTGAACTACCAGAGTGGAATTACATTGTGTTGCTGGGTAACTGCAGTGCAGTAATACAGTTCCAATGCCTAAGGCTGTTTATTTTTTGTGCTTAAAGGGGGACTACAGAAAAGATGCCGGACTCTTTATCAGAGAGTGTAGTGACAGGTCAAGGGGAAATGACTTTAAAATAAATAAGGCTAGATTAAGTTAGATATGAAGAAGAAATTGTTCACAGTGAGAGTGCTGAGGTACTGGAACAGGTTGCCCAGAGAATCTGTGGATGCTCCATCCCTGGATCTGTTCAAGTGTGTGGCAACCCTGCTTGCAGAAGGGGTGTTGGAACTGGATGGGCTTTAAGGTCCTTCCCAACCCATGCTATTCTATGATTCTATTCAGTTGGCAGCCATTTTTTGCCTGGATCCTTTTATGATTTGACATCAAAACTGTTATATTTTCCATAGTAGCTTGCACATGTGATTTTTTTCTCATTAAAAAAATAGATTAGTAGGGTATCAGTGGAAAACTGGGGGCTTGGGGTTTGGACTCGATCTCTAGAGGTCCCTTCCAACCCCCTGTGATTCTGTGAAAACAATGTGAGCATCGGTTTGACTCTGTTTATACTCTGCTTGTTTCATACACCATGAGCCTGCTTCTGAAGATGTTTGGGAAAACAAAAAACCTGAGCTGGAATCAAAGTGGAAGAACAAAAAAGTGAACCAGTGGTTAGGCTGCATTCATTAACAAGCATCCTACTCAGTGATCTCTTAAGTACTCTATTTCAGGAAAATAATCAAAATGGGAGTTTAAACCTTTTCTTTCAGGATTGATATGTATGTGGAGGGAACAACAGACCTGATGGGAATGATCATGGCTCTCCCTTTTCAAGCAGCGGATGTGAAAGAAAAGAATATTGCCTTAATCACTGAACGAGCTACAACCAGATACTTTCCTGTTTATGAAAAGGTAAAGGGTGAAACATCAGGAGTCCACAAAGGCAGCCAAGCTGGGTGCAGCCCTCCTGCCCCAGCCCCATACTCATAGCTTGAAGGCAGGTGGTGGTGCAGCTCTGGGACTGTATGATGGAACCAGCATTCAGCAATGGGAAAAGAAAGCTGCAAAGTACTACTGGGCTGATCTCAGTACTGAGCACCTTTGCTGTCTTAAAGACTACTCAAAGGGCACATTCTCCTTGTTGTTTGCAAGCAGTGGACTTTCACTTTTTGCACGTAGCTTAGTGGCTGGTAGCTCCCATTGTTTTGCACAAATGCCCCATTTAAATACCCGTGCCAGCCTTCAGAGCTTCCTGCTTAAAAGTATACAGACCCTTGATGTTTACAGTTAAATCCAACTACTTGTTATAATTAGGGACCTAATTTTGTGATTTTTCTTGAACCCATTGCTTTAATGGAAGTCACCTAGAGATCATTACTGTCCTTTTCTGAATTGCTTTATTTGGGCACCCTCAGATGTGCACAGAGAGATGTGCACAAACAGAATGTATCTAGCTTAAAAGCAGGAAAGCAATTATCTGATGGCTACCAGGCACTAACGCGGTGGCCTCTAAGGAGCCATCAGCTACAGCGTTAGTAAGCTAACTGCACTCAAAGCAAACAAAAACCCTGTCTTTGCTAGGCAAGATTTGGCAAGGGGAGGAAGGGTTGTTCTCTGTTGCTCCCAGGAACGAAGCCTTCGTGTTACTATGTTGCCATTTCCTACCAACTTGCTATTTGTTTTGTTTTTCTCTTTAGGTTCTTTTATTTTTGTGTCTATTAACATTTTTTCTTTCTGAATTAGAGCTAGCAATGATCCTCACCTCCTGCTGCTGTTTGTGCCCTGCATGGCTGTGCTGTGCAGACTTTCTCGCAGCGCTTTCTCCCAGCGTAGCAGTTTCTCCATGTCTGTGCCAAGGCTACACAGCCGTGCTTGGCTCAAATTCCTGGTTCCCCAGGAGGAGCACAGAGAGAGGTTAAGGAAGAGGTCAGAGAGAGAAGGAGTTTTCAAGAAAAAAAATCATCATGAGATCTGCTCCTACAGGCTAGCTCTGGGGAATCAGAATATTTTGGAGGATATCTTTATACAACTTTCTGGAATCCAGAAAAATGCAACTTTTGTACTGTCTATGGTGTCGTAGGCAACTATTACAAGTTTTAATGTGAGTGTTTACTGGGAAAAAGTCTTTAAAATAATCCTTATTAACTTACATTAGACAGAACTAAACTTTGCATGACTTTTAGCCCAGCTAATTTTGTCAAAAGAATTAATAACTTTCCTTCTGTATTGGCCGCTTAAATGGTCCATTGATTCAGCTTGGCAGGATTTGCAGTCCAGGCCTTGTGCAGTCCTGAGTAAAATCTCCTAGATATGGTCACTTTGAACAATCAGCAGCAAATGGTAATTCAAAAGCACTGCAGGGTGTCTGGTCTGATGCTCTGTTTGAGAGTTTCCCTGCCTTCAGCAGTCAGGTTTTGGTGCAGCTTGTTTTGGCAGTGGGTTAGGTGTATGAAATAGCTGCAACAAGGTACCAGGTATTTGTCTGTCCCAGAAGTCGCTGCTTTTCTTAGGTTAATACTGGCAGGTGGGATTGTAATAGGAATCATCTGTATGGGTTCTTGTATGGATTTCTTTTGCTGTTTATCTCAGTAGAAATCTGCCTGTTACATCTAGGTAAAATCATTGCATACTGTATGACTTTTTTATTTGTTCTTATTTTGTAGGCCTTAAAAGACCATGGTCAGGATTATCTTGTTGGCAACAAGCTAAGCTGGGCAGACATTCACCTGCTGGAAGCCATTTTAATGACAGAAGAACTTAAGGCTGATATACTGTCTGCATTCCCTCTGCTACAGGTTAGTGATCATCTGATCTCAGCGTGGAATGTAACATACACATTTCACTGCCCAGCTTTGAAAGCTCATTGATGTTTAAGTCTTTTGAACCATTGTACTGAGTTGCTGGCAGCTCTCTGATCTTCTGTTGACTAAAACAAGCTGAACACCCCCACAGTCACCTTCCTTCAGCTCTGCTGCTTCCCGGTTGCTTTCAGCTGGCAGGAATTCACTTTCTGACTCTACCAGTTTGGTCCTGTCACTCCACTAACATGTTTTCAAACAGCTTTGGGCATCAGGACAGGAGGTTATATTTTGCTGTGGCTGAAGTTCCTAGCTTACTTTTGCTAGCAAAATTACATTTTGAAGAAACTGCATACAGAAATGTTTCTTCTTTCTTGTCTTTGTGTGGTGTTTTGCACTGAGGTGCTCCTGCCCTAGATTCTTTTTAGCCCAAATACATCTGTAGTATTTGGATTCAGGTTGTGTTTTTTCCTTTTTTTTTTTTTTTTTTTTTTTTTTTTTTTTAATTTCTCCTTTTGTGGATGAATTTTTACTCTTTAATATTAAATTCTCCCATCCACATCTGGAAAACCAAGGAAACTCTATGGCACCATTTCTGATTAGAATATTCACACCTATTCACACCTGAATTTTCCAAAAAGACCAATATGTTGTGAGACGTGTTTGCAAATATGTATGCATACATTTTTCATGAAAAATACTGAGTGCTGAGCTGGCTCTGAGTAGCTACTACTATTCTCTGCTTAATATGTATGTATGAGAATAAAAAATCCAAGTCATCTGATTTTTAAGCTAAAAAGGATGGGATTATAATTTCCTTGCTTTCACTGGCTTTCTTACTTCTTTTCTTTCAGGCTTTTAAAGGAAGAATGAGCAATATCCCAACAATCAAAAAATTCTTGGAGCCTGGCAGCCAGAGGAAGCCACCATTAGATGAGAAGTCAGTTGCTAATGTGAGGAAAATATTCAGTTTCTAGTGGCTGCTACAGATAACGGGCCTGTAGTCAATTACCTAAGCTGTGCCTCTGAAGTGTAAACTGCGTAGATCTATTCTGTGGCTTGTGCCCTATACTCTTTGAGATGGAAGACAATTTAGATTAGAGTAAAAGGCTGTTGGACCTGCTGATTACAGAAGGCAGTGTTTTATTACCAAGAGTTCTTGCTACCATCAGTTACACGAAATAAAATATACTGCTGTTTGCTGTTTGGTTAGCCATTAATTGCAGTACATGCCTGGTAAAGTGTTTCAGCTGTAGTTTCCAAAGCACTGCAACAAAGCCTCTTTCCTCCCTCTTTATTAGCTGCAGCCCAGAAGAGCCACTCCATAACATTTGATAATTCATTTTTTACTTTGCCTGGTCAAAACTCGATGTATCCCTGTGCATTTATTAATAAATAAATAAATAAAATCTCACGATCTCTGTAACTTTATGGCTGAAAGAAAGAAACTATTTTAATCCTTACATGAATCTCTTAGATTTTGATCGCTGAAAGATCAAAGTACATGTGTCTAATTAGTCTGCTGCTACTCATTCCTTGCTCCTATTCTTGCATGGCTGGACTGCTGCAGTGAGGAGAATGCCACTTGACTCTTTTACTTTCCCTGTTACTTCTCAAGCAGCTCTAAAGAAACGGCATTGGCTGCTTACCTTTTCATTAAAAGAGTTTGCAGATGCTTTAAGGACTTGTTGAGATAAAGCCTGTTTCAGATTCTTTACCCTCATTTGATGGGAATCGTCACTGTCCACTTCAGAAATACAGACATAAACTCTTTTTGTCTTTCCAGTTAGCTGTTTTTTCTCAGTAAGACTCGAAAAGAAGAGGGAGAGAAACCTGTTAACCAGTTTATAGATAGAATTGCTGACCAGCAACAACTTTTCTGACTTGTGTGGGCCAATAACGTATTTCAGAGTTACACATTTGGAACACCCCAATCACCCACACACTGCTCATATTAGTTCTTCACTTCTTAAAATTAACATTACTTGGCTGGCTGGAAGCAGCAGTTTGAACTGCAAGGGCAGTTTCCCTATCATAGTACTTAACAAGTTTTGTGTTGCTACGCCTCTGTTCCAAATGGAACAGTGGTCAAACCATTGCAGACACTAACACAGGGCATCAGCTTTGCATTCTGTAAGTGCGTGCTCGGTCCCCAAGGGATACAGTAGACTTGCTAAGAACATTACTTGCTTGGGCTGCACAGCTGTTTAGACAAAAGCTTTTGGGTTAGAGTTGGGCTTTGACGCCTGTCCTTGTGCCCATGGGGAAGTTCTGAGAATGGAAAGATGGCTCAACTCTGGACTACTGAACAATGCAAAATCCCATTGCATTTAGCATATGAGCTAGCAAGCAAGTGATGGAGGGCATCCACATTTCAGCACTAGGTTGCCTAAACTTTTCTGTAGAGCTCACTCTACAGAAGCAGAATTCATCTCCTCTACAGCACTGGTCATCTAAGCTTGTTATTATGGTACACGGCTGTCCAATTCCCCTGACTGGTCTAATTCAGGATAGAAAGAACCCCATCCTACATGTCCAGCTGTCGTTCTACTTATCAGAGTCCTACACTGAAATCTATAGAATATCAGCTCATCTGCACATAAGCCTGGTGACACCTGGTGGTGACTGGTACAAGCATTTGCTAGCTAAAGACTCGAGGTGGTATTCTGCTAATGGATTGGTGTACCATTAAGAGCAGACATACACACTCAGAAATAGGTTGCCTTTATGATACTGTAATATTTATTTATGGATGTTATGTATACTTATGTATATTCATGATATAAGGGACACTAAACCACATCCCTTAGTACCAGAACAGTTGTACACGGTACAGTGTGTGTTTTAAATCAGTAATGAGTACAGAGCAGCTCATCCAACTTCTCCTGACAAAGTGACACTTCACTCTGCATAAAAAAGCTGAGAGAAGCTTCAAACATTTTAAGTTTTATTTCAACACTGATAGTAGGTTTGATATTTAGAAACAGTGGAAGAAGATAAACATATTGAAAAGGAAGACAGGTTTTTGTATAAGACAGTACAGGCACATGCCTTTATTCATTAGTGACTAACAGTATGGTTAGAATTGATTACTTAATTGCAGAAGGTAAAAAATTATGCTTCAAAAAAATACACCTCTGAGATACAGTGCAACGCTTCTGGTGTGCTCAGCCCCTCTGAAAGCTATCAAATTTAGAGGTAAAGGTCCCTCGAGTTAGCAGATTGCTTAAGCAGATGAAAATGTATCATTAACAAACCACTGTTTTAGCTTTTATAAATAGCTTGCAAAACACCAGCTGGCAAGTGCCAGTAATTAGGGTACAGATACTGATCTTATACTGAAAAGATAAAAGCAAAATAAGACTTGTGTTCCAATTTGTCTTTCAAGTATGGAGAGCCTGCCTGTTTGTGAGGTGGGCATGGCTGTCATACTTCAGTTCTCAAGTTGCTACATTCTCCTACAGAAGCATAAAAACAAGCCTCAAAATCATCAGAAGGCTGTAGAAAAGAAAACAGAAAAAAGTCCATAAAAACAATTGTGCATAAACAGTGAAAATCATCATTAAACAACAGCACATTCATAAATACCTGACACCAGAATCTCTAGCAAGCAATCTTTCAAAGCATTTCAATCTATAGCATCACTGACCACTGAAAGTCAGTCTAAGCATGCTGTTCTGTTGTTGACACATAAATAACATTTTGCAGTTTCAGTCCTGATTGATAATTTTTAGCAACTGTGTGTGTGTGTGTAAGATGACTGTTGTATGAAGTTAGATGACTGGCTTTATGCATATCTGTATGGAAGCACTGAAGCTTTCCTCAGGTTCTTCCAAAAGCCTTATCAACATGCATTAATGTTTAACTGTAGATATCTGCTTTCTTTGCTGAGAAACGCTGTCCTCCGTTTATGTATCTGCCTAGTGAGACAAAAAGCAGGTCAATGGAAACAGGACCAAACTAATCTCACTTAAACCACACAGCTGCTAGGTGGTAGTAACCTCCACTGATACTAGCTTGAATCAGATATTGAGTAGCAACTATTTGAAAATCGGTGAAATCTTTACACTGAGATCCTCAATATATGTTTACCTCAGGCATGCTACAAGTCCGGCTGGCATCAGTTTCTTGGTCCTCTTGAACCTCATTCCCATTATAATGGTCAAAAGAAAGGCTGAAACTGTAAAAAAACAATTCAATGCATTTGTTATCTCTTTCAGAGAGGACTATTCAGGAATATGGAGAGTAAACAAAGGTCACGGACATGGTTTGCTATGAAACATAGTTCAGTAAAATGTGAGATCATAGAGAGAGATCTGTAAAAACATTCTTGCTTTCCCAAAATTCATTACCAGGATTCCCTTCAGCTGCAGATGAATGCAGCAGAACGCTAAATCCTTCTCTGTGGATGCAAAGCAAGTTTATCAGGTGATGAATTTGTATTCCTGTGTACCTGCATTCATAGGGCTACCAATGAAGTTGGAAGAATCCTCTTCGTTGACAGTAACATTTATGCTGAGTTACAAATACAATGTGTCATAACCCAACACTGCAACTGTTTTTCTTACTAGCAATTCAAGGAGCTAGAACACACAAACTGTTGTGATTTTTTTTTCCTTTTTTTTTTTTAATTTTTATTTTCCTTTCAGTGTGCTGGATCTGTATTTGCTAAGCCTTAAAAACCAGATTTGAAAGTTTTCCTTTATTTCTGCTCTAGGATATGGCTTAACATCTCCTGCACTGTGGTCGTAAGTACTTTTGATTTGCAGCAAGGCTTGCAAACCAGGTGGGCAGCCCCAAAGGGCAAACATCATGAAAGGACTTGCATCTTCTTCCTGGACCTTTTACCTGAAAACAGAGGTAGCAACAGACCGGTCAACCAGACCTGGAGAATCTAAGTCAGGCTAATGATTGCTAAGGAGATTAAGAAAGCATAAAACTGCAAAGATAGCTACAGTTGAGTTAAAAAACTGACACCTGAAATGCTTCCTAGAAAAGGGCAGAGGCAGGGCTGGCAGCTCTTCCATTCTCACGGAGCAGACAAACCACCCAGCAAACTCTCTTTAAACTCCACCACCTTCTGTGGGCAGTGCTGCGCTCACAGTTGTCAAAAATGAGTTTTAAACTCATTCCAACATCATGTGACAAGTTCTGGCAGTTACAAATAAAGACAGCTTGCTTCACTCTCCCTTGCTCTTATTTTCTGGTCCCATAGTTATGATCCTCTCTGGAATGTCTGAAGAGCAGACTATTCCACAGCATGGTCTTGCCAAGGGCCCCGAGTATATTCACAATTAATTAGAAGCTACAAAACATGCCTGGTTTAGTTTGTGAGCTCCCTGCATTACCAGTATTCGACTTTTCAAATGTGCAAAGGAGTTTTTAAGATGTTCATCTTTTAGACCTGATTTTCAAAAGCATTGAATATTCAGCATTTCATTTTTAATCACTTAAAAAAATAATCAATAAATAAAGCCAAATTCAGCTCAGTAAACCATAAAGATAAAACTCATAAAGCAACTCAATACAGCAAATGCATTGAGTTGCATTCTCACTAACAAACTTAAGCATGAATTTCTACACCTATTTCAATCAGTAAGCAATCTGGAAAACACAGGAGCTCACTTCAGGGGCAGTGGACTCTCCTTTCCTTTTTTTTTTTTAATAATTTTTTTTTTTTCCAAGCATTTTCAAATCATCAACAATGGATAAATGCTTGAAAAAATAATTTATAAAACTACTAGGGAAATTTGGCTCTGGTTTCTGCATGCCACATACACTTGGCACATAGGACAAGTTACCTAAAACAAGGACTTGTACTGAATCATTACCTACACTATTGTAGGAGGCTCCTGAGTAAGTGACAGATACTGCAGATAACCACAGTTATGGAGGAGATTTTTCTTCCTTACCCTTTGTAAAGGTTTGGGGCGCTTGTCTCTCATTACATTCTAATTTACCCCACTAGTTTCTATGCTCAGAAGGGTCACCCTCTTCCATGCATTTAGGCTCCCTCTCACACTTATGCTCTATTTGCTCCAGATACTTCAGAAAGCTAAGCATAAATGAAAGCATTCTGATCTTCTACAAAATCCATAGACATTTATTAGAGAGCCTGGATTATTACATCTGACATCTACATTAGTGGAAATCATACACCAGTCCTTCCAAAACAAGGGAACTGGAAAACAATCAACATTGAGTAAGTTCTAATCTTTCT